TTATTTAATAGACAATGAAAGAGCTACTAAGAATTTTTGAATAGAGGCAGAGAAGAATAAGAGAGTTGTATTACAAAGATTATTTGAGTAGAAATATGAAAGATGGCTTAAGAAGGTGAAAGACTGAAGGCAGAAAGACTAGTTAGGAGGCAATTACCACAGTCTACAATGGGAGTCAGCAAACTATTCTATAGGTCCAAATCCAACCCTCTGTCATCTTTGTATGGCCTCAGCTAAGAATGGTTTTTATATTACATTGAAAAATGTAAAAACCATTCTGAGCTTGCAGGCTGAAAAAGGGTAGGCCAGTAGCTGAATTTAGTCTATGGGTAGTAAGTATAGTTAATAAAAGATGAGGTTAGTTGCAGGGGGAGGGATGAACATGAGGAGACAGATGTGAGATGCTGTGGAAGTAGAATTGATGGCAACTGATGGGTGGCATCTGATATAGTGGGTGAGGGAAGGACAAGAGATAAAGATGACTTCAAGAGGTATATTCAAGGGAACTGGAAAGATGGTGTTATTAATAGAAATAGAGCGAGGAAGAGAGTAGCTTGGGGCATATGGGGAAAGATGAGGAGCTCAGTTTGGGGTGTGCTAAAGTTGAGGTGCCAGTTGGACATCCAAGTGGAGATGTCCAGCAGGCAGATGGAAAAGCTGGACATCAAAAGAGTTTGGTAGAAATATACAGTTGGGAATCATCTATGTAGCCATCATAATTAAAGCCAGGAGAGAGAGGAAGAGATCACTAAGGAAGAGAGTACTGAGAGAAGAAAGAGGACATAGAGCAAAGACATGAAGGATGACCACATTTAGGTGTGAGAAGAGGATTAGGAGTCAACAAAAGTGCAGGAGACAGAGGTAGCAGGTTCAAGTTCCTGGCTCTGCTGCTGTGAAAGTCAAGACACTTTGACTTTCTGGGCATTGGTTTCTGAAGGTGACCTATGGATTCTTTCAATTAGCATATTGTTTCATTAGTTCAAAAGTTTTAGGCAGTCTCCTTCTTCTTTTTCTTTCTTCTCCTCCTCCACCTCCTTCTTCTTTGCCTTATGTCATTCAGGTTTTTGGCTTGTGTTCTTCTAGGAGACCCATAATCGGTGAGTTGTCTGTATTCATCCTGCCTTTGAAATCAATATGTTTTCTTTGAATACAGATCATGTTTTCTTTTAATGCTTTTTGCTTCTCTTTTTCCAAATTCTCCTTCAGTTCTTCCAAATTGTTCTTCACCTCTGTGTATTTTCACTCCTAATCAGTTCTCTTTTTTGTTTCTCTGGAGAGATTTATCATTGTGGATTCAAGTTTTCCTATTTTGCTTTTTTTTTTTTTGCTGTGAAGGCTATAAATTCTGCTTTTGCATTTTATTTCTCTCTTGAACCAGTAAGGAAATTCTGCCATAGTTCCATGCTGTCTTGGGGATTCATAGAGTGTTCCTCATTAGGTATTGATTCAATTTTACTTTGTCTTGCGATATTTATTCAGAGACGTATGGACATGTTTAGATGATCTGGAGGCCAGATTTCTCTTTGGTTATTCATGTCTTCTTATTTGGTTTTCTCTACGGGTGCTCAAGGTTTAGACTGAGAACTTGGTAATTTTAGTCTTTTCCCCACCTTATATTGTTCTGTCGCTCATTATCTGAATCCTCTTTGATGCCAGATCTCTTGAGAGTTGGACCTCAAAGTTGTTGCAGTCTCCTTCCACACTTTTCATTGGCCCTCAATCTCTGCCCCAAGAGACTTCTAGGGGAGCAGAACTGGATGTAGCTGGATGCCAGTTTTACCTATGGCCTAATAAAGCTTCTCCCCTACCACACACATCAGGCTGCTGCTCTGCCCTTGTTCCTTCTGTTCCTTAATTCTCTGGTTGAACGGGGCTGTATCACAGCAGGAATACTGCTTCCCCAGAAACAACAAACTTCCCACTTTAATGTACTTCCACCTCCTCCATATAAGAGGGTTTGACTGAAGAAGAGAAGGTATAGAACAATGATGTTTGGAATATGATATAAAATCAATACAGGATTAAAAATAGCTTAGTTGTGCAAGAGTGAGTGCGAGTTGAGGGAATATAGCAAAAATGAATAGTAGACTCTGTTTTTGTGATTTCTTCCCCCTTTTGGTCTCTTGGGAGCAAAAGGGGAGGAAACAAATGATAAGATCTATCCAGGATGAAGGGTTAGCATGATGGGAATGCTGAAAGGTCAAGAGGAAAGGGATTTAAGGATGGCATAGTGGACATTATACAAATGCAAGGAAGGAAAGAAAAAGGTATAGACAATGGAAAATATTCTTTGACAAGGAATAGGGAGAAAAGAGTAAGGAATTCTTTCATAGGGGATTCTTTTTTTTTTAATAAAAAGGACAATATAGCCAAATATTAATGGGCAATGAGAATTTATTATTAATGAGAGCAGTGAGTCTTTGCTCAAATATCATGAAAATGAACAATATCTTTTTTTGGAGAGGCAGTTGGAGGTAAGTGTCACATAGCTAATAAGTGTTAAGTGTCTGAGGTCACATTTGAACACAGGTCCTTCTGACTTAAGGGCCACTGCTCTCTCCACTGTGCCACCTAGCTGTCTCCAAAGTGAACAATCTTTAGCCAAACTTCACAAGTCTTCATATGTTTTACTCATGCTCACTGAGTAGAAGAATGTTTTAAAAACCCTATCCCCAAGGGGGCTATATCTATGAGAAGGGAACTTAGGCAGGGCTAATCCAAATACACACACACACACACACACACACATACACACACACACACACACACACATATATATATATATACATATATATGTATATGTATGTGTGTGTATATATATGTCACTTTGAAAATGCTTATGGACATTATTTAAGGAATAGAGGTTTCCCCTTGAGGAGGTAGGAATGACAATATAAAAACAAGTACAGGCAGTTAAACAGAGCAAACTGTTAGATGGGCTTAGGGATCTTGTCCTCCTGAGCCAGAACTCAGGAATTAAGGTAGGGCTGTGGAAAGCACATGAAAGGTGACAACAGGTGGAGATAATCAATACTGAAGGGGCTGAGGGAAGCACTGAAACACAGTTAGTGGAGCTCTAAATTGGTCCAACCATTATGGAAAGCAATTTGGAATTATGTTAAAAAATAACTAAAACGTCCATACCTTTTTACTCAGAGATCCCACAGCTACGTGTATTTGTCAAGACATAAAGGTCCCATAGCAAGGATAATAATCATAGCAAAAGTTCTTGTGGTAACACAGAAACAGAAACAAAGTAGAAGCTCATTGATTGGCAGGTAACTAAACTTGAATGGTGGTACATGAATATGATGGATTAATATGCTTTAAGAAATGATGAATGTGAGGAGTTCAGAGTCATGTGAAGATATATGAAGTGATGCAAAGTATAGTAAGAACTACCAAGAAAGCAATATATACAATGACTACAAAAATGAAAACGGAAAAAACAGTAACAAAAATTTTTTTGAATGCCTTATTATTATAATGATCAAAATTGGTCCTTGAGAAGAGATGAGAAATTAAATCTTCCTCCCTTTTTTATAGAGATGTAGGATTAAAGGTGTGTGACGTCATACATACTGTCAGACTCTATTGATGTGTTGGTTGCTTTTGCTAAACTGTGAGCTCCCTTTTCCCCTTCTTTATGCTACAAATGGATGACTCACTGGGCTGGGAAATTTTAGGAAATGAAGGTGATGGGATAACAAAATATGTCAATACAAATTAACTTTTAATATGAATACGACAGTAATACCTAACAAGATTTCCATGAGGTCCACAGAACCAATAACATTTCAAAGGATAAAGACCTAGAAGGGACTTTAGAGATTGTTTAGTTCAACCCCTAATTTTACCTATAACAAAATTGAGGCCAGGAAAAGTAAAATGACTTGTCACACAGGTAGTAAGGAGCAGAGCTGATTTGGAACTCAGATCCTCTTCTTTCCTCTGAAACCAAATCAATTGCTCTATTACATAGTTCTGCCATTAGGCTTTTCAAGAAAAATGTTCCAAATTTCATCTTTCCTAGTTGGAAACTCATTCTTTTCACTACTAGGCTGAGTTATAGCAGGCATCAGAATCACTGAAAACTGATATTCCTTTTTATGTACCTATTTCCTTTGCATTGGTTGGAAAATTTGGGAGCCCTCTGGTGGTGATGCCTAAAATTTCTTGTGTGTCTTGAGGATAATTAACGTGCACTTGGCTCACTTTCAAAAACATGTTCCGACTCTGAGAAACTGCATTAGCAGTTCCTTGGTTTTAAGACTGCTGCTGTGGACTGAAGTGGAATAAAGGGAAGATGAAGAGTGGAGAGAGAGTGCCCTCATCTGCCTGTCTGAAGACATTTTGTCAGAGAAATAACCTTGTAGATGCCCATTTTAGGTTTCATTATATTTAATAAATGTTCACAGAACAGATTAGGTAACATTTCAGAGCTCCAAGGGAAATGGAAATCAAGTCCAATGCAAAGAGTCAGAACTTGATTTCTGAGCAGTGCAGTAGGCTAGGCCAAGGAATGCTGTGATTGGGAGACTAGACAAATCCTCCCCCACCAAATTAGGTAAAAAACCAAATGACAGAGTAAGTGCAGCTAAAGGACTGGGTTTTGGACTGATGATCCCACAGAGGTGAAAGTTGGAAAGGAGGCTGAACACTGGGAAATCAGTCTTTTTTTGGGAGGGAGAGAAGGTGAGATAAAGGAATGTGAATGATAAATGATATACTAATACCATTAGCTGAATTAAGTCAAAGATTTAGGTGTTAATCCAAGGAATGAAGGAGGCAGAGAGGGAGAGTCAGTGTTAGGGAACCATAACAGTCAGGCATCATGGAAAATAGGACTCAGGTATAAGAAATTTAGTTCTTAGAACACCTGAAGTTTCACACAGATTTACAGAGTAACAAGTCAGGGATCCAGTTATTGGAGGTCATCATAGCCTCCCTGTGGGCCATGCAGAATCGACAAGGAACTTGACAAATGACAACCAAGAATGGAAATTTTAAACCACATTTAATTTTTTTAATTACAAAATCTGTTGCACTATTACAGAAGTGACCCTTTCATGCACAGATAAATTTAGCATCTACCATTACAGAAGAGTAAAAATTGTACTTGTTTTCCTTCTGTTACTAAGAACATTGGTAAATCCCTAGTAACACTTATTTTTGTGCTCTCTGATCAATCTGGTCTTTTTTTTTTTTTAGTATCAATGTGAAGGCTGATTTGGGAGAAGCAAATGCAGTGCTATGAAAGAATATGTGGCCATCTTCATTTGGGATTCCTTCAGACTGTGCTTTACCTACACACATAAAAGCGGCTAGATGACTAAGGCCTATTGTACCCCACAGGCATTAGCTCTGAAGATTTTATCTAGAAACCTCCTGTTGATACATTAAACAGTTCACTATTTGTTTCACAGCAAAAAAAAAAAAAAGGAAAAGAAAAAAGATGTATAAGTAGATGCTTTCAAATCCCATGCACTCCACCGGCTATCATACTTCTTACACAGTACAACATAAACATTTTGATTGTGTTTATTTGTATGTAACACCTATAAGCATATAGCATCTACACTTTAAGTGTATTTACAAATTCAACAAAATATCTACATATAAAAAGCTTTACTTAAAATTAAACTTGATGCAAGTTATGAGAAACCAATTTATTGGCAAATGAAACTGAGCATTCCTTCAACCATAGGTTGTTATAAAATTTCATATTTGGAGGTAAACCATTTGATAGAGTTCATGAATGTGAGAGAATGCTGTTTTTTTTTTAAACTAATAACTGTAATCCTTTTAACCACTAGGCCTTATTAGCACTTGTCAGAGTTCTCAGATTCTGAAGTTGTCCATAACAATTTATATACACATTGCTTAATGCTGTACATGGTTCGAAAAGCTGCCACATGGGTCAAGTAAAGACTTAGAGGATCATGTACAGCTGTTGGCATGGTGTCATGGCCTTTTGGAGCAAACAGATTGTTTTTGTTTATGTTTTGCCACCAAGTTGATCTCTTGCTTCCCTAGCTGAATTTGATTGTTTTTATTTTGTTTTGTTTTGTTTTTGGAAAACCTATAAGGCTACGCAATCATGATATGTGCTCTGGTTGGTTGTGAAGCTTTTTTTTCAATCCTCAAGAAACAAACCCTCAAAACACACAGTACTTTCATGCCTTTGAAATGGTGTTTCCATTTTGCAGCACAAAGACTTTCATTGCTTCTAGGTTGTTTAAAAAGGTGGGTTTTTTTTTTTTTGGCAGTGATGGTAGTCCACTGATCCACTTTTATTACACCAACTGATTTTAGCAGGGTAGCATATTATGGAATGCATATTGTATGAAGGCACTGAATGTATCTTGCTCTGTGTTTTCTGGATTTTTTTTTTATTTGTTCGAAGAAAATTTTAAATGGTTTGCTTTCAATTTGCTTCAGGACTGTACTGATTTCAAAATGCACTGAAATGCATGTTGTTTTTGCCTAAACAATCCACTGTCTAGATGGAAAAAAAAAACAGAACACTGTACTGCTGTAATACTCGATAGATTTAGAAGGCGATAAAGTAATAGGAGCAAAGAGAAGGTAATAAGAATCTCAGTAAGCAAATGCAAGTGTCATACTTCACTCATTTAGCAATTCTATACTGTATATACTGTTCCTAATTGTCTTGCAAGAAGACTTATGATAGCTAGACATTAAGTCACCAATTTCACAACAATGTCCACAAAGACATTGAAGTTCTAGATAATACTACGATAACACTCTTGACAATGAAAATGGAATTCATATCTAGGGATTCAGCCAAGGACTGCATTACAAAATATCAAACCCTGTTTTAATAACATATACAGGTTTTTTTTGTAGAATGTGGTAGCATTTTTCATGCATTGCACTGTATCTTCACCAGGAAATAACATTGTCTGTTGTTGTATTATTTGTCAGTTCTGAAGAAATTTCTAAAAGATACGCATTTTGAATGAAAAGTCTGCATTTTGTACTCCAATCGACACTAATGTACCACTTTTACTGAGTTATTCATTTGTGTAAATGTTTGATCTATCTGTCTCATGGTATAAACACACAGTAGAAAGTAACTTTTCTACCTACATGTTCACAGTGTGAGAAGGCTGACATACTAGTGCTTTTAAAAAATATCACGGAGAACACGGGTGTGTCGGCAGTGAATTCAAAGATTAAACAAAGGAGTTCATGGCATTGACGGGAGAAGGAGCCTCAGAACTTTCATTCCCTTCAGCTGGTTCTTTCTCTTTCTTACCACTGTATTGTCCAATAAAGGAACCATCCTCATTGAACTGGCCATTTACCCCTTCTCCATAGTCAACCAGACTATCATCGCTGTCTTCTTTTTTCACAGTCCTGTCCGAAGGCGTCCGACTTCCCTTTTTTAAAGGTTTGTGATCCTCTGCATCGCTGGAGGAGAAAAACAAGACAGCAAAACACTGCAGTTGAAACCTATCTTTTGTGTAGACTTCTTTTGAAACTATTAAACAAAAGGGTACGTGCATGCAGATTATGTCAAAGCTGATGCAGTCTCGAAGTCCCCTAGCCAAACCTAGTCACCAAATTAATATGATGTGGTTGTCATGGAAATCAGGTACAGTGATGGTTTAAATATGAACTCTTCAGTAGAGAGAGAGAGAGAGAATGGACTGTCTATGGTGCATGTTCCTTTTAATGAGAGATTTAATCCCTGATTTGAAAGCAATTTAGAAATAATGGCAAGCATTAAATAAGGGGTGGGGGTAGAAATGTCACTGAGAAACCACTGTTTTGATTCCCAAAGTGGGGAGGAGAGCTTATGATAGGTAGTGGAGTTAGTCTGTTAAACCTTTTAATCTCTTGGATTCCTTGAACATGAATGAAGAATGAATTTGGTTAAATGAAAAATATTGATTCTTTCTGATCTAGAAGAAGGAAGCAAAGTGTTGCATTTCAAATCATTTTGGTTATAGAATGCAGGCCAGGCTTACAAACTTCAACCTTACCTTTCAAGAGACCTACACATTCCATTAAAAGGGTGCAGAAGAAACAAATGAAAATAGCCTAAGAAGAAAAGCAAAATCCATATCCTGAAAGTGTACAGTACTTTATTTTTTTCCTGTAAGAATGCCAGTTAATGGAGGTGAAGATACATTAAGTTGGAAAGATAAAATTTTGCTTGAGCATTAAGTCTGTAAAATTACTCTCACATTGATATATTCTGAATATTCTGAGTGATACTATGGAAAATTCAAAAAAAACCTTTTAAAAAACTGTTCCTTTCCTTCCAGTCCTCACTTGCTGCCCCCAAACCACACATGCTTACAACACCTTTCCTTTTAATAATTCAGTTCTGATGGAAATCTGAAGATTAAATAAGTCAATAATGTTTTGCAAGACAAAGTTTGCTTACATCTCTGCTCAAAGGTCTCAGTATGTTCTTTGGATAGAGTGAACCAGGGAGTGTGTTCTAATTCAACAGCGCAGAATTGTGATAGCCATTTATGACCTGGGTTATCTTCAAGAATGAAGGAAAAACAACAACAATATACTTTTATTTTCTATTTCAAAGAATGGAAATAAGGGAAAAGAGGAAGTTTGTGTATGGTATTAAAAAAGGCAGTCTATTGATCTTAGAACATCTTTTATTTCCTTCCCAACAATGTACTCTGATCAAGACCAACATTTTAGCTCATTATCCAGAAATTCACATCAGAACTTTTTTCCAAGAAGGAATCTTCAGAAAATAACCTTCTCTAATTCAGTAGTAGTAGGGATTTATATTTGATGAAGAAATTATTTCTGTAATGCAATATTTTTAGTTGCTACAATATTATTGAACCAGATTCTTCCCCGAGAAACCAATTGTAGTGGTTAGGAAAACACCATAAAATCTTAAAGTGGGAAGGAATTTTAGGGGTCATCGGTATCCAACCATTGTGAGAATCTCTTATGTGATATATCTCTGACAAATAGTCATCCAGCTTTTGTCTGGACACTCCCCATAAAGGGAAACTCAATGTGGCAGTGCATTCCTTGTAGGGACAGCTTTGTTAGAAAATGCATCCTTATAATGAATTATTATCTGTCTCCCTATAACTTTTGCCCATCAATCATATTCTATTATATGACATGTCTAATTCTTTTTCCAAATGATAGGCCTTCAAATATGTGGAGGCAATTGACATTTTTCCTGTAAATTATATTCTGGTTATCACTTCTAGTGCCTTCAACTGCTCCTCATATAACATGATTTCCAATTACGATTCTATTTTATGAATGTTCATTCTAAGACATGGTGCTCCAGATGTCACCTGCCCACTGGCAGAGTACAGTGGAGTTATTGCCTCACTGCATCTGAACATTGTGCTTCTATTTATGTAGTCTGTTTGTGTTAGACTTTTTAGTAGCCAAATCATAAAGTTGGCTTATATTGAGTTGGCAGTTTAATACTCCCATATCCCTCCTTCCCCTATGTATTTTTTACTAAGTCCTGATGCCAGGTGTCTTTAATCCCATAATAATGAAATTTATGTTCTGAAAGTAATTACAGGCCTTAATATTGATTCCTGATATATTTCATCTTATAGTTGTTTTTTTTTTGTTTTTTTTTTTTGCTGGGTTGGGGGGACAGACAGACATTACTTTAGCCTTTTTATATCTTTTTGAATCTTGAGCTCTCCACACTTTTTGTCATCTGTAAATTTGGTAAGCATGCCTTCTATTTCTTCATTCAAGTTATTGATAAAAATGTCGAATGGGACTGGAACAAATACATAACCCTGTGGCATACCAACTTCCTTCCGGATTGATATCAATCTATGAATGAACAATATTAAGATATGCTTGCTCAACTGGTTATAAAATTCTCCCAACTGTATTATCAAGAAGCCCACATTTCACCATCTTGTCTACAAAAATTACATAAGAGAATTTGTCAAATGTCTTGTTGAAATTAACTTGTGATGGGCTCATTTAGTACGCCAAAGAGATCATCATTGCATTTTTCATCTGTATTATATTCATTTCTTTGCATGACTCCCCTCCTACCTCCTAACCCTAGACTCCACCCTGCAAACTCAAAAATCAAGATTGATCATCCTGATTTCTTTTTTTTATTCTGTCAGAAAAATGTACATCTATACAAGGGAAAATGAATTTAATCTGAAAAGGAGGGAGGGAAACTAATCTGTCAGATAAGAAGCATAGATTCGTCTATTAGCTTCTAAAAACCTCCATTCTAATTTAACCCTTATTCAAAAGCAAGAGGCAGACAAAAAGAGAATGGACAAGGTTTGAAGAACAGAACAGCAATCCAGCTTACTTCAAGAATCAGAAGTAGGCTAGAGAGATTCTATTCAAGAAATAACTCTTTGATGAACAAAGAAAAAGCCCTTATTTTTAGTTTTTTGTTTTTGGCTAGGCAATGGGGTTAAGTGACTTGCCCAGGGTCACACACCTAGTAAGTGTTATGTGTCTGAGGCCAGATTTGAACTTAGGTCCTCCTGAATCCAGGACTGCTGCTCTATTCACTGCGCCACCTAGCTGCTCCAGAAAAAGCCCTTGTTGAGTGTGAATTTTGTATTCTTGGTGGAGAATGTGAGAGCTTACAAGTCTGAAGCCCAGAACAACACACTAGTCTTTGGCTTTCCCCTCTTTAAAGCTACCCAAGGGGTAGTAACTTGGCAAGGAGAAGTACCTTGCCGAGTCTGATTTTTGAAAGTCTCTTCTTCAACATAAATGTGTACTTAGAAACTGGAGGAGAGACTATTTCAAAACCATGATCCAACTTGGCTATACTCTACTGTCTATCTCTGGGCTCTACAAGTAAGAAATAGAAGTTATAAATGCTTTTAAAAACCATAAATAAATGGAAAACTCATTTCATGAACAGCAATATTAAGTATTAATGTTTAACATCCCCAAAGCTTCAAAGATTAGAATTCCTTTTATGCTGAAATAATTCATAGCACATTATCTTAAACAGAATTGACTTGCAGCTGAAACCTTCCATATGTATTGTCTCCCCCATTACAACATGGGCTCCATAAAAGCAGGGTCTGTCTTGCCTTTCTATTTGTATCTCTTGTGCTTAGCATAGTGCTTTGCACATAGGAAGTACTTAGTAAACACTTTATTCATTAAGTCATTCATTAAGAACATTCATAACCTGTAAGGGAGATAATATGGTTATATAGTAGAAAAAAAACATATATCACAATATCTCATGCTGGAAGAAGGAAGGGCAATTTTGAAGCTTTGTTCAGTTAGAGAAAAGTAAAAATATATCTTCTTTAAACTGTTCTAACAATGTACTAGATGGATAAGTCAAACTTTTCAGCAATGCATCTTTCTTGATAAAAGCTGTCTGTTGGTAATTTTACCTTTCAAATTTATTCATTTGGATGCTCATATATACTGTAATTAATAATGATTATAATAACAATAATAATGATTCATATAGCACTATACTCTTCCAGATGCTTTTGTATACATTATTTCCCTGGGTGGGATTTCTATTATCCTGCTATTTTGCACAGAACAATTCATGAAGACTGACTATGAAGATGTGGAATGTATCAGTACAGAAAACACTCCCTGATGAATTCCCTGTTCCTTTGAAGCATATCTTCTTTTGCACTGGAAACTTGTTATAATAGTGTTTGCTATTCAATGGTCTTTGATTTAATGTGATTTCCATCTAGAGGGATTTAGTTACTGAATTTCCTCACTTACAAGGCAGTTCTGCTATACAGAACCTCAGTAGAACATTATAGCAAAGCTCTGGTCTGTATTTTTTCCTCCCCATGACCTAAATAATTAATTTCAGGGGGATATTATGATTTATACACAGTGGAGCATGCTCAGTAAGTGTCTATTGAGTGAAACTCAGCGGCAATGGAGAATGTGTTGGGATACTTTCTGAATCTTATGTCCTAGTTACTCTCTTATATAGCTAAAGTGACTGACCATTTCCTGTATTACCTTGACTCTTTAAGAAAAAACAAATATCCATCATAAGGTATTCTACTGAATACATTTCTCTCCTCAATTGGATTATGTAATTGCCCCATACTACAAAATAAGCATCTTCATCTCATATAGTATGTGTTAGTGAATGTGTGACATAGGCTCCCTAGTCACAGGAATTACAGGATTCATACAATGGGAGTTTGGGTCAGTGTAGTAGACAATAACTTTAATTGACCATCAATGGTATGACTTTTGATCAAGGTTCTTTTTGGTTTTAACAAAAGATTGATCTAAAGAATGAAAAAATACTTACACAGTTGGTTGCATTGTTTCTCTGATTTTTCTATATGCTAGAAAGGATGCAGATTCTAATGTCTGTATAATCAAAGAAATAAACAAAGAGAACTGCAGATTTCCACCAGAGGTACCTGCAGGGTATTGGAGCAAGGGTGGGAGGTGGTAGCGTGTACAAAACAAATTTAGCCATGGGAAGTCCCTCCTTCCCTCTTTTTGCACCTTGTAAACTACACTCTGGCTAGGCAAGAGTTGAATTACCCAGGGAGCTGCTGGCACTCCTTGGATTAGAAGGAATAAAGGAAGAATGAATTTTTTAAAAAATTTCTTGTCTTGACAGAAGCTTTGACTTAGTGCCTCCTGGCATGGTCAGCATCCTATGATTTAGAATTAGGAAAGCATGAATTTGATGAAAAGTGTCATGCTTACGGCTCCCTAGGGGTGCAAAGTATGAAAGGGACCCTGGTGATCCAGGGAAGGGAATGGAATTTTAACGCGTTGTCAAAAAGGAATAATAAATAAATGAATAAATTCAACAGGCAACACCTGGAATCTTTTTTTTTTCCCATAAAGCATGGCATGAAAAAGTCTTTTAAATACATTACATGATAGCAGAATCAACCAAAGGGGAAAGTTCTGAGGCAGCGTCACTGAAGTATAAAAAATAGTCATGAAGCTGCAATGACTGGTGGCCGTTTTTTGCAAGTCATTTTGTTTGTGGACTCTTGTGAGTTTTCACCCTCTTTTGAAAAATTAAACAATTTATTAAAAAAAAAATCTAAGACACTCATCAGAACCATTAACTCCCTTAGGACCCTACAGAGTGAACAATGTAATCACATATGTGATAAGTGTTTCAGTTTCATTTATAAAATTCTGGTTTATCACTTAAGAAGTCAAGAAATGTAACTTTCCTTGACTGAGAAACCATATTATGCATATATATAATGCATATATATAATACATATATAATTTTATATATATATGTATGTAGGTATGTATATATACATGTATGCACAAAATTACCCCCCCCTTTGAAATGTTTTGCAAACATATCACATATGAATTAACTTTGAGTCAAAGAAACATGACCAGATGGCTGTAAACATTCATGATTTTAGCACTATGATTACGCCAGCATTAGCATTGCCCTTGCTATCCATCACTTTGGAATCCCAAAACATTAGAAGTGATGAGCAGATAGACTTGAGCAGGACCACACTCCCTTTGAATCGTCTGCTTAGTCCCTTCAATCACCATTGGAAAGCCAGATTTAAATCCCACAGTGTTTTGGTGGCGTGAGAATAAAGGTCAGCATTCCTTTCAGGCCTGCTCAACAATAGATCATGGGTTCACAAAGCTCTGATAGCAAACGGTTGGTGGAGAAGCCAAAATGGAGCAGTAGACCAAGTGCCAGATTCATTGCATGAAAATCCAAGGATATTTAAACAGAACCAAGCAGATAAGAAGCAGTATGCAGAAAAGCACTGATAAAATGAAGGTCAATCATTTATTTGACAAGCATACAAAAGTAATATCAACTGTCAGCAGATAATGAAGCATAGCTCCAGCAAGATAAATAAGACAACAGGGGGCCTATTTTAGACCAAATAATCTGTACATAAATGAATTTTAAAAATAACTGCCAAGGTAGTTAATGGCCACTCTTTTGGGCGGGGGAGCTGAGAGGGACACATTCAGTAAAACACATAGAATCAGCATTGTGGACCATTTACCTGGGATAAGCTGTCACCTACTTTAAGCAGAGGAGGAGGGGAATGCCTAGAGACTTCTATAAGGTCATTATTATGTGCCAGAAAAACTATTCAAATGGGCAGGTTTGAGGGTTCATGTACTAAGGTCACCAAATCAACACAGGAGTCTTAGCTTCAATTTGAATATGTTTGTTAACTCCTTCACCTTTGCTAGATCTTTGCTTGTCTCATGAAATTTTAAGTCTTTTTTGAGCAAATTTGAAGAAATGTAGTAAGAATTTGGTTAAGTCCTTCACTCTTGCTACCTATTTGCAAGTCTCAAGAAATTTTAGCCTTGTTTTGGGGAAATTTGAAGAAATTTAAGTAAGAATTTGTAAACCCCTTAACCTTACTATAAACTTGCTTGTCTCAAAAAAAAATTTAGTCTAAGAAGTTTCTGCTGTAGGGAAAAATCAGAACTAAAAGAGGCAGGGTGCTAGGAATTAGAAAGAAAATGTCTCCAGATGTGGGGGACAACTTAGTGAAGGCTCTGTCCCAGATTCAGATCTCAAGTTTTTGAACTTCTTTGGTAGCACACTTACCCCTAATTATAATGAAAAAGAAATAACCAAATTGAGGAGTATGGATGGGCAAATTTTCCAGAATTTGCCAGTGTATCGTATCACCCATACAAATAAAATGGAAACCGTCCTTTGGCATTCACAATCAGTTTTTTCTTTTGGTATGAAAAATGTTTCAGTGCCATAGTATACAATTCACAGTTGTTTACAAGTCTTTTTGTCCCTATCCTGAATTAAGAGGCCTACAGAGACAGAGTAAAAAGGGCTTAATACATCATATAGATGTATTTCAAAAGCATTCTTTTGGACTACCAAAATTTTCACCTGTTAAAGAAACGAATGCCCTCCGCGATTCTGTACTGAGACAAGCTTAACAAAGTCATTAATCTTTATTTAAAATATATTTGGGCAAGAACATATTTGCATAAATAGCAGATTAGGAACGCATTTCTTTAATGATGGGACCAAGCCAAGACTAAATCATTAAAACTCTGGTAGATGAAATGCTGCCTAGAGGGTCATAAGAAGTTTAACCATCAAAAGTCTATACAACACTCTAGTCATGAGTATATGGCTAATGGATTGGGTATAGATATAGCCATTACTTTTTTTAAAAATTAAGTTCAAATCAAAGATCACAAAGGCTCTTTCTATATTGGCTAAGTATACTGTTTGACAAATTACTACTGTGTCACTTTCTAGTTTTATACTGGAAGGGATTTTTATGATTCTAATCAAGCTCCTTAAGAGTAGGATGATTTCCTTTCTACTTGTTTCGCCAGTATCTAGCAATGTGCCTAGCACATAGCAGGTACTAAATAAACACATGTTAATTGAATCATATTTATTTATTTATTGCCACACCTCCCAAAAAAGGAAAAACCTCAAAAATTAGATGAGTTTTGCCAGGCATATTTGCTGGAATTATTTTTAAAAGCCTCTTGGCATTTAAAAAAACAACAAAATAGCAAAGGCCACATAATATTGTCTATGGTAGTATATACCACTGGAGAATACAATAAAATGGAGAATTACAGTGGCTATCACTCGGAGCCTGTGTAGAAGGCAGTGCTGGTGACTTGGGAGAAAAATTGACTGCAGTTTCTTGATTGCTCCTCTAAGTCAATTTTGTGGCCTAGCCATGGTGATTTTTTTAATCTTAGCATTTGGTTACCAAGTTAGAAATATTCTTGGAAAAAGATGTTGCCATATAAAATCTTTTCAGGTGGGAAAAAAAAAACACTTTACCACTATGGATCTGACATATGCATGCTCTTCATAAGGATTAAATACTTTTTAAAAAGTAAAAATTATTTCTAGGGTTTTCATTTAAGGCTAAAATTGATATCTTATTGAAATGTAAATTCTTACAAATGAATGCTTACATTCATTTGGCAAGTAACAGCAGTTTTTAAAAAATTAAACTTTGTAAAATAAGGACATTTGGGTACAGCTACTCTTCCAGGAGGGGAGGCAAGGGTATTTCCAAGTACCATGAATATTATTCCAATCTTTTCATTAGGTTGTTAAGTATGTGTATGGTGGTAGAGGGAATGTCTACATACCAGGTGCATGGAGGAGCAAGGAGGAAATGCAAGGGGACGCTGAATTAATTAGTCTGTGTAATCATGGCTATGGGGTGCTCAATTTCTAGAACTGTATTCTTGGCCATTTCTGTATCAAAAGATAATAGAAAGGGGGAGAGAAAAGCCTTTTATTCTCTACCCCGTCTTTGTACTGAATGGGGGCTCTCAAATCATGCAGTGCTTTTACCTTTCATACTATAAAAAACAACCGTTAACTCCAAGGCAGTAGGAAGGCACAAGGGGATCACAAGGCTCTGGGAACAAATACTGTCAAATAGCTCTCAGAAATATGGAGGAATACCCATGGACCTCTATGGAGCTATGTCTTCCATCAATATCCTACCTCCAAACCCCCATAAAAAAATAGAAACATTTCACGAAGAGCAGAAATACTTTTTAACAGTAAAGGACTTGGAATTTACACATTTTCTAAACTAAGTTTGTACTTGAAATTTGAGAAAAGTGCCAAATGTTAAGAAGGAAACTTTCTAGGCAAAGAAAAATTTTCTGTTGTGGGTGCTTAAATAGAGTGCCTGACTGACAGAAAATATAAGAATGATGATGCATACATAGTAGGTGCTAACCTGTATTCTCCAAAAGTTCCATCGTCTTCCTTCATAGGCTGAATTTCCGGATCAGCGTGTGCATCTTCTTTTTCTTTGACTAAAACATTCAAAATGGCATCATTAACCACTGATGCTGGCATCTCCCTGTTCAAGATTTTTAGTCGTCTTGGTACTTTTGATTTCCCAGTGTTATCATCATAATTATTTTTAGGATGTACTAGATTTTCAAGGTATACAGAAATTGGCAGTAAGTTTCCTTTTATTTCCCTGAAATTGTGGAGGAGCTTAAGAAAATGAACACTTAGCAACATCTAAACATTTGTATTTTTGTGAAAAGGTTTCACTTAATGTGGAAGCCTTATGTTCCTTATGTTTCACAATGAAGTAAAATATTTAAGGGCTTATATTTAGTCTTTTTCACATGTTCTCACCAGGTTAATAGTTCATATTTAGAAATTGACCACTTTGCAGATTTGGCCACATAGGTCTCACTCCAGTTTGGAGAAACACACAGGGCCCTTCAAAACCATTAAAGCTCTTAGATGTGATCTATGATTTCACTGGCATGGTTACTCTACCAATGCAGATCACAACTGTGTCAGTTTATTAGACTGTCTTCATGAGCAGATGTAACCAAAAAATCCATTATGGGGTGATAACAAAGGTAATGAGCCTGTGAATTTTTCTAGGGTGGTCCTCAGACTTACAGATATGGTCCTTCATCAAGATCATACTTAAAATGGAGAGAAATGATTATTTTTATTATATTAATAACAAAATATTAAATTAGGATTGAGGTTTTTCCTTTCATTTCCTCATTCAGGGACCAGCCCATGCAGGTCATTCAGTCAGTCTCTGAAGGACTTTGCTGATAGATGATATTACCTAAATCCTCCAGGTACATACTCTGTGATCTTGGGTGGGACCCCACTCAACTAGAAGACCTTACAAACAGAATGTAATCTAGGTGAATTCTTGCCCTTAGTAAATAAGCCCCTGTCCTTGGAACCCTTCATTAGAATTTAGGGTGACCCAGCTTATGAAGAAGAAAATCAATCAAACAGGTCTGGGTAGCGATGGATTCCTTTTTCCAGATTGCTGGAGGCAGCTGAGTCTCATGATCAAGTCCCATTCTTAGCAGAAACTAATGACTTTTAGTCCACCTCCTCCTCATTAATTTGCCTACCCCCTCATTAATTGTTCACCAATCAGGAATGATTTTCACCTGTCAGGAACACCTCCTTTTCCAAAGGTATTTAAACATTCAGGGATCTCCATGGTTTTGTCTTTGGTTACTGAGGGAGATCACGGACCATCAACTTATTGACTGTTCGCTAGCATAATTAATACATTGATTATTAATTACCCAGAAACTCCATTTCTTGGGCTTTTCATTTGTCTTAAAATCTTTCTAGTTTATTGGGACCTGCATAGCTAGCATAGCCTTTAAGAATCCAAGGTCACCTCTACACCACAAAGAGGCATCAGAATAGGACTTTAGGAATGAATGGGTGGATACAAAGCATCTGTTAACTATCTGCTATGTACAAGGAACCATAATTACTGAGGTTACAAATTTAAAAAAAAATAAGCCAGTCTTTAGCTTCAAGGAGCTACATGTAGTGTGGAATAGTGGTCAGGGAAGAGCAATAGAATCCCAGATTTATAGCTGGAAAAGGCTTAGAAGTCTAGTCCCGCCCCCCCCCCCTTTAGTAGATGAAGAATAGAAGACAAGAAAGGTTAAGTAACTTTAATTAAGGTCATGCAACTTGAACGCGTATGAGTTTTGATAAAAAAAATCTTGATTCCAAATATAGTACTCTATCTACTATGCCATAGTGTTTTGGTCAGGTCAGTTACAGGGATGGTTTATTGGACTATGTCTTATATACAAGCAGAAATAAACAACCCTTATCTCAAGAGATTATATAAATGCTGTTCTTTGGACAGTAAGGATCCAGAAAAGCTTTCTAGGCTGCTCCTTACAACTTCTTAATTACTCAGAGCACTAGGAGGAGATGAGACTACTGACATTTTTTGAACACAGATAGGCCTACCCACAACAACTTGTTCTTTTTAAAATATTTCTATTGTTATTGTGTACATTGGGCCAAAAGAAAAAGTTTTGAAATACTGGCTTTAGGAGGATGTGGGCACCACTCCTTTACAATTAATGAACTGATCATGGTTTTAAGGTATAATAATGCAACTATAAATTAGCAACATGTATATCTTCTTTTACCTGGATATTTACCACCCTTGTTTCTTCTGATGAAGCAAACGATCAGCAAAATCAAGATGAGAAGAGCAACAGCACACATCAGACCAATGAACCAGCCTTGAGTTGCAATGTCCACTTGCCGGCTTGCCATTGCTGAGAAATAAGAGAAAGGGAGCAGAGATTAGAAAGAGAAAAAAAAAACTTTTAATAATAAAATAATATATCTGCATGAGAATATTATAGTATTAACATTTACATCATTTAATAAAATTCCATATTATAAAACCAGAATGTAACAGCCAAGAGTGATTTGATTGTTATACTTCGAAAAAAATCTTCAGTCATATTTACAACGTGAGTTTTCCAAGTAGAGATTGAGTACTAATAATGTTTGATGCTTAAACCCCTCCCTCCTTCTCAATTTTTGTGTAAATATCTGTTCTCAATTTCAGCACATTCCCAAAAAATGCCTGCCATGTTTGAAGAGGAATATTCAAATGAAGTGGGACAATAATAGGTATTGAGACTGATTTTTAAATAAACATACCAAATTTTATTATAAACTCAAATAAGTACTGTTCAACAAAGCACCTTTGGAGGATGCATATTTATTCTGGGGTTGCTGCAGAAAATATATTTTCCCTTTGTGTAATTACCTTCCGAGCCAGTTATGAACGGTGTAAGAAAAAAAGTCTTTTTACCCTCACACTTCATTTTTATCTTTAAACAGTCATTAGGAAGGCATAAGCTGAGCAAAGAAACCTGGAGACAAACATCAGCAGTATCAAACTTCCCCACAGGAGACCTTACATGAAGTCAATGGAATTTTGGGAAATTAGAGGTTAATATCTGTTACATGTATTTCCCTTTATATTTTCTGGCTGTCCAACATTACAATACAGGTTGATATTATTTATCATATTTAGCTGCAAATTACTTTTGGTCATTAAAAAAAAACCCAATCAAGGGATGAAACTCAAGACCATTAAGAACATTCTGAAAGTAATTCTAAAGAAGGAATTCCAAGAGTTCTGAACAAGGAAAACATTGTTGGGGAGTAGTCCTCCCAGGTGGCTACTTTGAAGAATATAGAACTTATTTGGATTGGATGAATTCTGGCAAGTTTTTTTTAAATAAAATCAGTCTGTAATCTACTTTAAAGGAATACAATACTTTTAACTTAATTGGTCATTTTTCAATCTCCCATGATACCTTAGGTTAATGTGGCTGGCTTAATGTATCATTCAAAGGGACACATGGGAAAAAGCATAGCATCAAATACTGGTCAGACATGCCCAAGAACAAATAAATGCATTTGAATGAACATTAACTAATATCAATTAATTTTTTTAAAGGAATATGCACTCATCCTCCTAATCTATTCAGAGAGAAGAAGAGAGAGAATGTCGTCTTGGCCTCATAAAAAATAGCTGTGTCAAGCTTTTTATTTAATCTGCGTTGAATGAACCAGGCATGGTTAGCTTCCATAATCCTTGGTTTGCAGGATGATGCAGGAAATTGTGCTCTGGCAAACATTATTTGGCCCTAGTTTTACAACATGCCCAATGTCTCATTTCCTGTCCTCCTTTATACAAAATGATAGGGAATACAATGTCTGAAGTGAAGTATGATTAATAGAACAAAAGACATGTTTTTTCAGGAAACAAAGTCAGAAATGAAATTATTTTAATCGTATTACAAATCAAATACCAGTAGTCTTTCTCCTCACTACCCAGGATCTATATTTGGTCAGAAGGGAATTTGGTCTGCATCACAAGTAGGGATCTTTAGTTAACCATCTGCTCACTGAAGCTCAAATGACACAAATAGGTGCCCAGGCAATGACAATTAGAATAATTTAAAGTACCATCTGGTGCTACTCAAATAAATGTGATCACTGATGTAAAGGATGTGGATGCAATTCATTTAAATGCTCAACTAAAAACAACTGTGAGGCTTTGAGGTGTGGTACCCTATTACTCAAAAGCAAAAGTACATCAGATTTGCCACATGATGGTAAATATCCCATGGTCTCCCAGTCCTTTACCTTCCCACTCTCCTGATTCTCTTCTTCTCCTTGAAGACCTGGCATCTTCCAAATTTTATCTCTACTGTCTTGCAGTTTAAACCATGTAGATCCTTATTTTTATAATTGGTCCCAATGTTCAAAATAGGGACAGACCTCAATGAACTATTGTGGTTCTTTGCAAGGTAAAATGCTTGATTATCCTGAAAAGAAGCGTAGTTCTAATATGGGATCACACAGCTAGTAAACGTCTGAGGCCAGATTTTGAACTTAGGAAGATGAGTCTTCCTGATTCCAGGCCTGGCACTCTATCCACTGCATCACCTACCTGCCCCATATATATATATATGCACACACACACATGTATTCATAATATGTTATGTATACCTATCTATCTTTATAGTTATTTATTTACCTATGTGTATATAGTTACACACCCTACAATGCAATAATGTCTTTGAAGGATAAGGTCTTTCAACTAGAAAAGAAATAGCTGAGTGGAATAAAGTTATTTGTTCTACATTCTGGCCCTGTTACTGAGGGAGGTTTTTCAGGAATTTTCATGCAAGGATCTGTATTCCCTCCAGCTGAATTTAAGCTCCTGGAGGAGAGGGATATAGATATAGATATAGATATAGATATAGATATAGATATAGATATAGATATAGATATAGATATAGATATAGATATAGATATAGATATAGACATGGATATAGATATAAATATAAATATAGATATACACATGTATACATATATGGATAGACATATGAAATAATAAATATATATGTAAAATATATTAAACATAAATATTATACAGCATGATTATAAATAATAAATAATTATAAATATAAATCCCTGTCCTCAAGGAGCATAAATGTATACATAAAAAAAATTGGGGGGTATTTGTATGGCTAGCACCTAGCCAAGCCTCTTAGCACACGAAACAGATGGGATTTAATACAAGCCTGTTGGATTGGAATAGAATGAATTCTCTCCCATGGAGTTTATTACAATTTTACGGGTTAGAGTGGCATACTTTAAAATTACTGATGATACTTTTTATTTTTAACATCATTGTGAGGCCCACCACACCATCTATTCAAACTCTTTCTTGTAACAAAGTTACAGTTGAGGAAACTGAGATAGCAGCCATGTCTAGCAGTGTATACATCATTCATTCCACACCTGTAGTCTACCTACCTCTATATCAAGAGGAGGGAAGGCACACTGGTTTTTGATAGGTTTGGAGATGGCATGTGGTATGTGACATCAACAAAGTGTGACAGACCAACATTAATTTTCTACATGGTATTGCTCATTAAACGCAAAAGGCATCTCTTGGGACACCCTAAAATGGTGCTCCTTGAGGCTTTGCATTTTTGCACCTACACCTAGGGATAGAAGTTTCAATATGGTATCATCATACCATGTAATCATATTTATGGGTAAATTAACGAAGAGCAAGCGGAACAGATGATTACAACAGAAAGATGAATGAATTAAAAAGTACAATGTGACAAAAATAAAGTGAGAGCCCATACAGTTTTTTGTATTTGTCTGACTTTACATCAAGTAAGGAAAGCTCTGAAACCCAAGGTAACTTTAAGAGACAAATTCTAAAGTTTTGCTATTTGCTTTAAGCAAAAAATATTTTGTTCCCTCTAGTTTTATACAGAAACTCCAGCCACAGATTTTTTTTTCTCACCAGGGGAATTCCTACCTGCGTAGGGAAGATGTCAAAAATCTATCTTCACTTTATCTAACATAAGGGAGGGAGTTATATAACATCTTCCCTCCAGGGGTTTCCAGGTGAAAATTTTACTCCTAATATCTGAGAGTTGAAGCATTACTTTCATGGTAGAGATTCAATTTATGATGCAAGGGCAAAAACAGAGTTAGATGGTTCAAAATTTTACAGAGATCTGGAGTTGGGATTTTGTTTCTTCATTTTCCTTTCTAAGCCTGCTATATATTAATGTTCCCTGTGGATACATGGGTAATTACGCTATTTTACCAGAGATTCAGGCTACCACATAATCCTGGAAATCAGTTTCACATCAGAGTCTTAACACAACTCTACAGAATGGCAGGGCTGATGAGCTAGCTGTGGACAGTGGGTGGAAAAAAAAACAGAACAAGTTCAAAGCTGGAAGTAATCTTAAAGTCATCCAGTACAATCCCTTTATTTTACATAAAAGGAAACTGAGGAGTTAAATAGTTTGGCCAATGGGCCATTAGTTGCAAATTTAGGCCTAGAACCGATGCCTTTTTTAGTTCTAGTCTGACACCTGCAGCTATTTTCTCCTATAGTTTTGAATTCCCTCATGCTCTCTTATCCTTACTCTCTCTACTTTCCCCAGAGTATATGGGAACTTTTAACACGACTCTGAGGAGACGTGCTTGCTCCTTTATGGAGTGTTCTGGCTGCAGCTGGCCTTAATGGATGTCAGAGTCCTGGACCAAACAGAGTTCAGATGTTTTGCGACACTGCTGGTTTGGGGGAGAACTGTGTATGTGGGAAGTGTTATGAAGAATTCATTTAAGAGTCAGTTCTTAAAATTTTTTCTTCATAGAAATACCACTAGCTCACACACCGTAATAGTACTATGGAAAAGAAATGTATGAGATTAAACACCATGCAACAAAGCAAACCCTCTACTCCTCCATCCCTCCCACATGGCACCATCATCATGCATCATGAAGGTCTCTGCTCTTGGTATGGGTCACAAACAGTGCAGGGACTCCTTGGGTAGTAACTTTGCCATACAGTAAAGGCTTTTTGTGAGTGCTTGGGTAGACAGCATAGGGACTAGAGAACACAATTTGGAAGACGTGGGTTGAAGAGAAAGTGCAATATAAAATGGAGTAAGGGTAATTAATCGCTATTTGATCAATATGCTATTTGAGGAAACCACTATATAACTTTTTGAAACCATCATAGTCAAATAGATTAAATTGGAAAGAAAAACAGTACAGTTTTTAGTTCAAATTGGAAAATAAATGATAGGAGGCCTGATTTGGTTTTAAAAAACTTTCAATGCTAATTAGTTAATGAAAAAAGGAAGCAAAATTAGATGAATGATTTAGATTTTTTTTGGCTAAGGTATTCATGTTTTTATTATTATTATTTTGTGGGTGTGTAGACAGAGAACAGTTGTCAAACTGGCCCAAATGAAAACAAAATGCCCTGAAGCCTTTCCCTCTTCCTTCCTTCTTCCTCTTCCTCTTAGATGATGAAGGAAAAGCAAATTAAAAAAAAAGGCTAAAAGGATATTTTTGTATATAAAGACTACACAGAGTAGAAGATGGTCAAAGCAAGTACAATGACTTTTGACAATAAGCCCCTGGGACTGGCAGATTTTACACAGATCAAGTTTTAGATCACACAGGGAATTAAGTAATTAGCCAGGAGGACAAACTTTCATGGCAAGCACTGATTTCTCTGTGCTTCAAAGAATGGTTCAGAAATGGAGGTGAGACTGAGGTAAGAGAAAAACCTTTTACACGCTTTTTTTTTTGCATCCCTGAAGACAGTAGTAGCAATAAAAATTTAAAAAATAATAATAATAGCTAACATTTCTACAGTACTTACTATGTGCCAGGCACTGTGCTAAGCGCTTTACAATTATCATCCCATTTGATCCTCACAACAACCCTGGGAAGTAGGTGCTATTATTATCCCCATTTTACAGATGAGGCAAACTGAGGTTAAGCTTAGAAGTGTCTGAGGTTGGATTCGAACTTAGATGTTCCCGACTCTGGGCCCAGGATTCTACCCAATATAACGACTAGCTGTGTCTGAAACAGCAGAGTAGGATTAACATACAGAGGAATGGATAAAAATGAATTCTAGGGAGAGAAGTTGCCAATATATACTTAAGTATTATGTTTTTAAAAATCATACTCCAAATAATATTTCTCTTTAATTTTACATGTGCATATATTTATAATTAACAGATGTTCTCTTTTTTAAAATGTTACTTTTTAAAATAGAAAATCCAATATCACCTTGGTAATGTGCTTAAAAACATTCCTCAGTTATTCACACCATGGGATCAGCTATTGTGATAAAGTCCTACTATAGAAGCTGGAAATGTCAAATTCCATTGTATAACCTGTGCAATGCTTTCCTAGCGGTTACAACTCTATAATTTCACACGTGTATCTTGTAGGCTAAATGATTCTGGTTATACTACTGAATTTTAAACTTTCTTTCTACGACAGCCCCAGGCGATCACTTTAAAATCCTAAAGGCTGGTTAGGTCAGTGAGTAAATTAGGGCTTCGGATCTACAGGAAGTGAGTCCACAACTTAAATGCCGTTTCCTCCATGAAATTTCTCCTGATCTCCTAGGTCACTAATGACTTTCTGCCTCAGACCTCACATAGCACTTTTGTTTTATGACTCCCTAATGGATTTATCACGAATTATTGTATAATACGGCTATCTATGATAGTTTTTTATTCTATTAATATAATACAAGTACCTTGAAGGCAGGGATCATGCCTTATCTAAATTTTGCATCTCCCACAGAGCCAAGCAGAGTACCCTGAACAAAGAAGAGCCTTAATAAATTTACATTGCATTATGTTGTCCCCTTGACAACATTGTTAGGCTCAGAAGTCTTGATTAGTTTGTTTACAGGTGAAAATGCAGAGACTCACAAATTCAAAGTGACTAAACTGAATCCTTATGACAGAAACCAACGAATACAACCCAAAAAGCATTTGCTAAACCATTCTTCTATTCATGGCCCTAAGTTAGGTGCTGCAGATGCAAAGACCGAAAAAAAAATTATGAATGATGATCATGAATATTGCATAAGTACTCCCATTCTAAGACTTATTCAATGCTTTTCTAGGAGAATGGGGTCATATTTTCATGGAAAAAAGTATGAAATGTGACAAAACATTATGATTTATGAAAGTAAATAAAATACTAATAAGTTACCATACATTACTGTTGACAATTTTTATATCACACACCGAGGTATCATTTGTTTTTCAAAATCATAATATTTGAATCAAAAAGACCTGAGATTTAAAAAAACAAACAAACAAGCTGTATGGGTCATGTGCTTAGAATGAAACATTTTTTTGGGATCAACAGATTGGGATGGAACATAATGCTAAGCATCACCATACTAGCAGATGTAACAACTGTTTTTGTTTCAAAGGAGCAGGAAATGCGTTTACATTTTCATCAATAAATACAGACATTTTGTATGTAGAATCACAAAATGCTGTGTTAGAGATTATTTTGTCTGTTACTCAGTTAAGAGAAGTGAAAACTAAAACCCAAAGAGATTAAGATGAATTATTCAACGTTACACAGTTAATTAATAGCATAACTGGAACTAGAACTCATATCCTCTGACTTCAAGACCAGTGTTCTTTTTCTATTCTTAAAAATCAACAGCATGATGATATTAACCTCTACTTATATGATGTGGTTATTTGTAATACAAATTACTAAAACACTGAGGAAATCAAGGTTTATAGGAAAAGTACTTCCAAACCAAAAACGGCTCCACTAACATCACTTTACTATTTGAGTATTTGCTCAGCAAGGCCTCACTTAAATCCAATTCACTTGCAATTCATGGTATCACCATCCTGATATTATGGTCCTTTTCGAGAATGAAGGACAAATAAACAACAACTTTCTTTTTCTGATTTCTGAATATGAGCCCACCTTAGGTGATGGGTACCTCACCTGGACCTGTATGAAACATATCCTCAGAACTCACAAAACCCGAGTCCCCCTCAGCACCAACTCGAACTCTGTATGCTGTTCCTGGCAGGAGACCCTTTAACCCAAAGAAGCTCTGAGAACCATTTACAATTTCTTTTCGCCATTCTTCTTTGCCTAGGGAGATTTTTCAAAAACAATTAATTTGAATATTTTAAACTTCTGGGAGTCATTCCATGTATCTAGAAAGGAAAAAAAAAGTTTACAAGCTAACGGTAAAACCTAGGATATATAGTTTTCTACCATTTTTAGATCTACCTGCTTCAGAAATATCAATGGTTTAAGCCCAATGCTGAAGGCAAATACTTCAGCGAATGGAACATCAAGAACAGCAAATACCATGCTGAAAATGATTGCCCTGTTTTATGAATCAGTGTTTTTCTCAGTGAGTTTAAAAAACTCAAAAAAAATTGCTTGGACTTAAAGATTATATCTGTTATATTTTATAGTTCCTTAATATTAAAGACAATTACGTCTGTATCCCTTGCTTTATGTAATCTATATGTGTTTAACAGATGTGTAAAAAGAACTTTTTATAAGCTGAAGCATATTTTAAATGTACTAGGGAACTAGTTATTTCAGAGAAGTCTGTGGCCAGTCTTTTTGTTAAGTAAATGAATGCCCCAAGTTTATTTGTTTTATGAGTTAGAGAATTTTCTCTACAGAATTTTCTTAAAAGGACATCCACCTTAAAAAAAATTGGATCTGTGATTTAAATAGGGTAAAGAGTTCCAGGTTAGGAACTTTCTTTATCAATACAGATCAATAGCTGCTCTGTAATTTGTATTGTTAGAGTATATGCTTGGGGCACAAGTTAAGTGACTTAACCAGGGTCATGTGGAGCCAGTATATATCAGGTCAAACTTGAACCAAGGCCTTCCTGACTCTAAGGTAAGATTTCTTTCCCTTAAGCTATATTGCTTCTCAGAGATCTATCTTATTACTTTAAAAAATCTATTACCATAACCTAAACAGAAAGTAAAAGCTGTATAAATACCAATTTCCTAGGAGAACATTATAAATGGCTTAGAATTAAAAGGGGCTTTTTTTCTTAAATGCCTATTTGGGAATACAATCTCATTGAAATATATTGGATGGCTCTCCAAATGAATAATTTTTAAGTTCTTCAAATTTCTCATTTTATTTACTACATATCAGCAATTGGAATATGAAAGAATAACTGAATTCAAATCAGTTATTCAGATTCTGCTGTTCTGCCCAATTGAACCAACCCTCTCTCTTATTTAATATCTAGTACACTCTAGTGTATTTGTTAACAAGATATTCAGTAATATATAGGGTGCATTCAATGGCACCTCATTTACCATTACCCTTTCTCTGCTCCTACAGCTAGGAACAATCCCTTAAAATCTACTCCCACCTTGATGATGCATTTATAATATTTTAAATGTGATTTATACTATTTGCATACAAGCCTCATCTTTACTACTAGAATGTAAGCTCCTTGAGGGCAGGGACTGTGTTGTTTTCCATTTTATATCCCTACCAAATGGCACAATGCCTTGTGCAACAGTAGGCATCTAATAAAAAATATACTGAATTGAATTGAATGTAGTATGGGGTTTAGATCCAACTTTTTGTGCCAAATATTGAAATCTGGTATCCTAATTATAATAGTAATAGCTAGCATTTGAACGTTTGCAAAGTGCATTAGAAATATCATCTCTTTTTATCTTAATAGCCCTGAGAGGTAGGTACTAATATTATTCCCATATGGATGAGGAAACTGAGGCAGGCAGAAGCAGATTTAGATTGCCTTGACTCCAAATCCAGCACTCCACCTGCAGCATCACCAAGCTAGCAAAGAGCCTACCAAAATAGAAATCAATTATATCACTTACTTTTCACAGCATTAAGAAATATAAAGGATTTTCTATTTAGAAATCAAATATGTAATCTGATGGCTCAAAATACACTTACATTTTAATAACTGGATCATTCCCTAAATTAAATATTTCTAGATGCTCCAAACCAAAATGGCCTTTAAAATGCCATTAATGCCATTTGATATTTAATGCCTAAAATATCTTTACATTTATTTTAGAAGTCAGAATCAGTGAATGAAATGGTTCCTTACTCCCTGCTATAACATGTTCAACATAAAAGTGGACATGATCTGGTCCCTCATATTCCCAACTGATGTTGGCATAGGTTTCAGCGGCAACTGCAGTAACATTTCGGATCCTTGGATTAACTGGTCGAACTAAATACATGACAGAAAACACAAACACAATATTAAATTGCTGCTCCAAATATACAAGCATAAAACAAGGTTCCATTTTTTGAAACTTCTAAAACATAGTAAATTTGGAATATGATGTTAAAATATAAGGTTCTTTCCTAGTCCATTGAAAAATAAAATCATAGAAGACCATACTGATTGGAAAATTACAACATTAATAAATAAATTAACAATTAAATCCTCTATACTATCATAGAAAAATGTAGAGCTCAGTCCATGAATTCTACCATAAAGATCCTGAATAATGCAAATTGCCATCTCTGGATTGTCAGTCATAGGAAACATCACAGTATTCATTTATTGAATTACAATATAGACTGATTCAGTATAATGCAACTTTTCCTTGAGTCTACTTCAATCCCTTAATGCAAGCCTCACAGAAAATATGCTTTTGTAGCTATCCCTACCATATTTGTAATGAGAAAGAAGCTCACGGTACCCTTATAGAACGTTGGACGGCTAGTATGCATAGCAGGAAAAGTTGAAAAATGGATTTCTGAATATCCTTTAGCAGAAGAAATAAGAAAGAAGAAAGAGTAAAAAATTTTTCATAAGGTACACTACTGACAATAAAACAACCTTACCTGTCAAGATTTTCTGATTACATATGCATACTTAAAATTCATGCAGTTTTTTCCACAGCATTTTATGCTTTATTCATAAAACATGAAGTCACAGAAAACATAAATGACTCTGGAAACTAAAGGCCTTACTAAATCAACTACAGCAAAACCTGAAAGTTAACTTTAAGGTGACAATTATCTCAACCTTGACAGCCTGTACTAAGGGATTCAGCAGATTTTGACTCAAGGTTTATTTAAAAAAAAAGGCACCAACATTATCTTTTTAGGTTAACCAGCCATAATCTTTTTATGCTGAGAAAGCTTCCTCCATGAGAGTAAATTATATAGTAGCAATGTATTAATTCAAACCTTGAAATTAAATTCAGAAGTATACTGCATCATTGCAGAAGAACCAGATAGAAGCTAAAAGCCTCTCTTGAAGAAGAAAAAGCAGAACCACTTGACCCTTGCTGCCAACAAGGATAAATGTTCCAAAGATGATTTCAAGCCTAATCTTCTTGAATATTTAATTTTTCCAAAAATGATGCATATAGCTGACAAGGTAAAGACTCCTTCTCTGAAGCTAATTCATTTATATCTTCCTAAACTGCCCCTGTCGCAAACCCAGCAGATACTACTAGTACAGAGGAATGTGAAAATTCAATAGCTATGCTAGCTATCATGCTACCTAACTGCCAAAAAAAAGGCAGACTCAGTGAGCTGCTAAAAACCAGGAAAAATGCATCCAGTAAAGCAGCTCAAATCACATATAATGCTTGTGCTATTTTATTCAAGTTCTTGTAAATTCTAAAGTAAGATGAAAAAATGAATTAAATTAGCTAAATATGCACAATTTTCATACACCTGAGGAAAGCCCTTACCAAATGGATCAACAGATTCATAATTAGAAGTGAAGTTCTAATTCATTACTTTGCTCAAACACTTTCGGGATGAAGGTAAAAAGTACCACTGGTTAGGGAAATAAATTTCATTGCCCTGGATTAATTTATTTACATCAAAAATGAAATGAGTCTTCTATAATTACATATGTGAAAACCCAGTTTTCATTAAGACATTTTGGAAACTATGGTTGAAAACTGTAAAATACAAACACATATCTCTATTTGTATATTATATCAGTGTAAATTAGATACTGAACATAAGGAAGCTAGATCTTTTGCCGATAAATATTTTTAATAGCGCTTCTCCTAATCATTTATCTGTTATTCTTCTTCCTCTTTTAAATCAAAAGAGAAAAGTCATACCCCCAGCTTGACTGATTAAGTGAATGAGTGCAAATGAATGAGTGAACTATCTGTACAGCAAGCCAAAAGGAAGAAGATGTTAAAGAAAGGTCTTTTGACCTGTGGTTCAGGAAGCCTGGATCACTCACTATGGAGGTAGAAATAGAGCTCATTCTTGAATGGAAAAAGTTTGAATAAAAGAATAACAGAAGGCTCTTGTGTAATTAAAGTCACTGCATATTAAAGTTTAATGATCAGTTGTACGAGAAATGCTTAATTATTGATCTTTTACAAAAAAATCAGAGAATTGTTTAGTACAGTATAGAGTGTTAGTCAGTCAATAAGCATTTATTAATTACCTATTATGTGCTAGGCACTGTGCTGAGCACTGGGGATAGAAAGAAAGATAATTCCTGTTCTCAAGGAGCTGGAAGCCTAAGGGTCAGAGACAGCATGCAAACAACTATATTCAAACAAATTATATACAAGATAAACAGGAACTAGTCCACAGAGAGAAGGCATTAAAATTAAGAGAGGTTGGGAAAGTTTTCCTGTAGACGGTGGGATTTTATCTCAGACCAGTAAGTAGGAAGTTAGGGAAGCCAGGAGGCAGAGATGAGGAAGGAGTGCATTCCAGGCACGAGAGACAGATTGAAAGTTCCCAGAACCAAGAGATTGTTTGATGAACGACAAAAAGGCTAACATCATTAACAGCATTTGTATTTCCTTTCCACACACACACAGACACACACACACACACGTATGTGCAGCATCTATATCTATATATTTTCCCTATCTGCATTAATGCTGTTTCCTATCAGTAGAATAAGCTCCTTGAGGGCAGGGGCTGTCCTGTTTTTGTCTCTCAATCCCTAATGGCTTAATGTAGTGCTGGGTACATAGAAAAGATACTTATTTTTTTAAATTTTGTTTTGTTTTGTTTTATAGGCAATTGGGATTAAGTGACTTGCTCAGGGTCACACAGCTAGTAACATGACAAATGTTTGGTCTGAGGCTGGATTTGAACTCAGGTCCTCCTGACTTCAGGGCCGGTTCTCTAACCACTACGCCATCTAGCTGCCCCTTGCTTATTAATTGTTAATGAAATTAAATGAAATTGAATTTTAATGTTGGGACCTAAATTAATTTCCAGGTGCTGCGTCTTCTGCTTATTTCTATAAACTCCATCATCAGCCTTTGTCAGTTTAATTTAGTAACTTGAGAAAGGGTATTACTTAGAACTTGCTGCTAACAATATTTTACTTTTACATCATCATTAAACTAATAATTGCTATCTGTATCTTTATTATTTTTACTTACCAGTTATTTCAAATCACAGCAACTCATTTCCTTTAGGTCAGAAATTCTTAACTTGAAGTCCACAAACTTTTTTTAAAAAAGTTTGGACAATTGTTTTTCTATATTTTCCATGTAATTGGTTTCCTTTGTAATTCTATATATTTTATTTCATGCATTTATGCATTATTCTGAGAAGGGATACAAAGAATTTATCAGACTGCCATGACTATAAGTGCTTATGATGAAATAAATTATTTTTCTACAAAAAAAGTTAAGAATCTCTGCTTTAGATTCTTTTTTCTTTTTCTTTTTTTAGGTAATTAGGGTTAAGCAATTTGCCCAGGGTCACACAGCTAGTAAGTGTCAAGTGTTTGGTCTCAGGCCTGATTTGAACTCAGGTCCTCCTGACTTCAGGGCCAGTGCTCTATCCACCGTGCCACCTAGCAGCCCCTCTGCTTTAAATTCTTAATTGTGGCTATTTTGAACACAGTTCTCTTAAGTTAATGGAAAGCTTCATTTAAGATTGAAATAGTCATTCTCATTGAAGCATAACCACACTTTGTTCATTAAGATCAGAAGTTGTGACACACACACCCTTTTCAACAATGTTAATTTTCTATGTATATATTTTACTATCATATGGATATGATTATTCAGAATAAAAAATTTCAATTATTAACATACTATCTCTATTCCTTTTTCTTCTGAAATTGTATCATATTTGGGAAAGATCCTTTTATTTAGAAGAATCTGGATTTTAATTTCTATTAAAGAATAAGTAACTATGAGCAAAACTCAGTTGGGAATTGTTTTTTAAATTTACTGAACTGACTGTGCTGGGTCATGGCTGGGTTAGGAGAGGCTTGGGCTCTGTAGCCATAATATCTGGCTTGTACCACTAATCTATTCTTGTTTTCTGGAAAGAGGCCTTTCCCAGGCATTTTTACTTATGCAGAATGCATCATCACATTTTGGCAAGAATTAGTTATGAATCTAAACTGGAGCCAAGACATCAAAGAAAATACAGGATGTGGAACACTTTTCAAAATAAAACTTGTACAAAAGGGAAATGTCAATCTAAAGACATTCCTTATAGAGAGGTAATGAAGTCACAGAAGAAGTAATTCATATGAATAGTAAAGTCCCCAAGTGAGATCAAGGTCAACAGTTTACATGAAATGATTGCCTTTTTTAGGAAGCCCCCCTAGCCTTATAGGTACTAGACTTAGGAGAGATGGAAAGGGTCTTTTTGATGACCAAATCCATTTCCCATAATCTATAACTCAGTTAATAGTATACAGGTACATTGCAGTAAAATCAGAGATGACCAATCCATGATACTTTTTAAAATAAGAATATTTTTGTCAAATATACTCATTTCTTTAAGATACTTAGGGATACATTTTATAGAGAATAATGTAGTTTTTTACTTCATACCTTGTTAAAATATACCATAAAAATATTTTCAATTTATTTTTACAAGTAAATAAATTCCTTCATTTATACTATAAATATGTGACCAGTGCTGAATTATTTAATACCTAGATATCTCTCCTGGGTGATTAGTGAAAGTTCATTGTAAATGTACCTTACTTCAATTATATCATTTCACATCTACCTAATGTTTATAATTCCTGCTTATTTTCCTTCATAGCTATTCAATATCTCATACAGTAGAGCATTAGTAAAAGGAAGTGGGAAAAGACTTCTTAGCAAACTATTGACATAATTTAGGAGGGAAAAGGAACTTTAGGAATACCAGTAAAGAGGTAAGACCTTGAAGATGCTGTGCATTTGTGCATCAAACAGTAGGCTGATACTTTTACAGTTAGAAATTCATCTAATAGAATCCCAAACTGAAGAAATTAGTGAATTAGGTTATGTATTCACTTCAAGGAGCATCATTCTCCAAGTCATATACTAGGATCTTGTATGTGCCATATTAGCATGCCATTATCATCAGCTGTCATGTGTAAGACCTCTTGACAACTGGCTTATATTTGAGAAGGACCATCACTTGGTCAGGTTGTATAGTATACTGGTACACTAAGCATGATTTATAAATTAAATAAACTACAATTAAGAAAAGGAATTCAACTTCCTAACTTGTTTCTGAGTTGTAGATATCAGTCAGCCTCCAGTTCCTAATTCCAAACAAAATTTGACTATTTCAGTTCTTAGCTTAATCTGCTTCTACCAGCTGTCACACAAGATATTTTCCCTTGAGAATGGCTGTAAATCAGTAAGGTCAAGTGATGGGCAACGTATAAAAATGTCTTAAGGCTACCAGGAAAGGAATTTACATATCAATATAATATTCTTAATTTAAGTATTTTTACTTTGTGACATTTAAAGTGCGGATCATTTTAATTAATATAATTCTGTTTCATCACAAAAGTTTGTTTTTTCCTATTTAAATATCATTTTAAAAGTTTGGAAGTATTAACTGGGACTGAGGTCTAACTTTTTTCCCCTAGTAGAATATATATCCAATACTATGATGAAAAATCATCACTAAAATAGCATTAACTTAAAAGAAATACACTTTATGACAAATGTTGCTACAATGTATCAGTTCTACTAAGCCAAAGACACCTGTGTAACATTCTCACTGAAAGGTAATGGAACAAGAACGTGAGCCAAGATAATATTCCTTATTGGTCTATTTTATTTTTTTGCTACTTGAGCATGGTATTAAGTTAATATTAACACACTCAAGAAATTTAATTGAAGTTTGTTTGCACTAACAAAACTATAGGCTAATTAAACAATTGTAATTTAATTTAAAATACTATGTAATACTTTAAATTTTCATTCATAATGAAGAAACATAAAGATAATACACAACCAAGATTATTTTAAAAAGTACATCTCATGATCTCATTCAATCCTCAAAACCAAATCTATTCTAAGAAGCTCTAATACCAGTAACTCCTCATGGACAAATAATATCTAAGTAATAAGTATGAGGATTCCATATAGAAAAGCTATTGGTTCTTAAATGATTTATCATTCTCATTACTTGGGGTTATCGTCAATGAAATTACTATTCATTGTCATTCTGTACAAAAGATAAAATGCCTTAAGATCAGGATCCTTAAAGGGTTTTTTTAAAAAAAAGACTATGACGGGAACCTACCTACGCAGGGAAGACAGGTGAAAAAGGATTAGGCATAAATATTGGGCTCATCCAATTTGACCATAGTCATATCAAAGTAGACTAAGATGAGTTTTCTAACTAACCTTTCTTAAGAAAGGAATTTTCTTGGTAAATTCATGGATTTCACATACATGAGAACAGAATTTAAATCAAGGGATATATACACTGCTTCTTAGGCATTTTTTAGATTTATTTTATATTTCATTTCCCTCTATTAAGTATTCAAAGCATGCCTTATGATAATTCTTTCCATATCCATGCTGAAATTTCCCATGCATAACACTGAAAGTTTCGATCTTTATATTTACAAAGTCATGCAGGTGATTTATTTTACCTTTGTCTGCACCTACAGCAGGTGGGTGAACACCAGCTTTAATGAAAGAAAACAAGAATAGGACACTATGAAGTTAGTGACAAGATGGAAGTGCATGCAGACAGATTAGAAAAAATGCTTATTAAAATGCCAATGCACGTAAGTATAATGAAATGAAATAACTAAGATATTCTGTTGTTTCAAACGCACCAAGAAGCAAATACAAAATTACTATCCACACATCATTAAAGCTATATTATTTGTGCTTTGCGCTAAAGATTAAGATCAATGCAGACTGAGGATATTTCAGTTTTTTAGAAAATATAGTAACCAATTATTGCATTTAAGAAAAGTTCTCAAGATTAAATGAGTAACTTCTAAAAAACTTTAGAAGTTAGAGATCCGCAAACAATACAATACATTTGATGGTGTCATCATCATTTCCATAAAATTCCCCAAGTATTAATCATTCAAATAATCAGAAAAATTCCAAAGGGTTATAAAACCTAAAATAAGTATAGAAGACCCTTCTGGCTCCATTAAAGTATTGCTTTTTGCTCTGGATCCTTTAATGAAATGTTTTGCTTCTTTTTCATAGTCAGAGTAATAAATATAAGGCCCTTGTCCAACCCAAAGAAAAATTAAGGGCTATTTAATTAGCCTTTAGAATAATTGGATTAAGGGGAAAAGGAAACTTTAGAAATCATCTGATCTAGTTTCTTAATTTTACAAATGAGGAAACAAGCCCAGAGAAGCTGTGACTTGACACATATATAGTGAAGCCTACAAGTCATGAACTCTCCGACTATACTGTCTTGTTACAAAGAAGATAGAGAGGAGGACAGACAGAGATAGAGGGACAGAGACAGAGAGGCAGAGACAGGCACAGAGAAAGAGATAGAGAGACTGAGAGAGTGAGAGAGACAGAAAGAGAGACAGAGAGACAGAGAGAGACAGAGAGAAAGAGAGGATAGAGAGAGACAGATAGAGACCGAGACAGAGACAGAGGCAGAAAGAGAGACAGAGAGGAGGGAAGGAGAAAGGAAGGAATGAAGAAAAAAATGAAGGAAAGGAAGGAAGGAAGGAAGGAAGGAAGGAAGGAAGGAAAGGAAGGAAGTAGAAAAAGAAAGAAAGAAAATTCAACCACCTAGAGAAACATTTTATTTTTTCCCCTAATACTGTAATTTACACTTTCCAATTTTCATGCTAAACTTGCACTAGTTTGCACTGGTTTAAAATACATAAAATAATAAACAGTCACTAAAAACCTTTACATGACACATATGAGGATGTTCCTTAAAAAGAGAAAAAAACAGCGTTATTAAAAGGAAAGCACACTGACTCAGAACAGACATGAAGACTTTCTTTATACATACCCATCTTACCTTCATCCACAGTGGTCACAGCTTCCTCAGTAATTTGACTTCCAGATCCTGCTGAGGTTTGTGCATAGAAATAAAACTTGTAGCGCGTGCTGTAACTTAAATTTCTTAAAACCAGACTTGTCATGTTGGCTGCAATTTTTAAATCTACCAAAGGGCCCAATTCATGTGTGCTGTTAACTGTTACGGGAAAACAACACATTCACAATTAGCTGATATCATTTCATAATAGGAACACAATCAGCAATACTGCAAATAGCCAACTAAAGGCTCAAACCCAGATTACTTCTATTCTGTTCTTTCTACAGTCCTGTTCATCCTCTGCTTCATGGGGCTAATATTATACTAAGCTTTTAGGACGTTTGTAATGAAGCATGTGATAAGTAGAAAAAAAGATAGAGGTGGGGGGTGGTGGTTTGAGAAATCCAATATGAAAAATTTTGGAAGGTCCTACAGTGAGGGCCACAATATGATTTCTTGACTGCTTTTAAATTACAGTTGTGTGTAATACTAACTCATAAACATTAGCTCAGAGGCAACATCAATTTGGTACAAAGTTTTTATTTTTGTTCTTATCATAGTTAAAGACTCTATTTGACTTAGCTAATAGCGGCATGCTCATTTTTATTGTTTCGACCAATGATGGAAAATTACATGGTCTAAATCTGTTGTTTTATAGCGTACATAATCTTTCCCTTCAAATGGAAATATTGAGAGTATATTTTGACAATTATACACACTTTTAAAAATAAATATTAATATGAAATATTAAAATAAATATCAATCAGCCAAGATGTGAAAAGACAGGTTTGTATTCCTCCTTCTTCTCTCTTTCCCACTCCTGCTAGTAACTTACTTGGCTGAAACTTCAGGGTATATGCCGTCAAAATACCATTCGGATGACTCGGTGGATCCCATTCCAGAGTTAGTGAATCCAGGGTTGGATTAACAATCTTCAGAAAAAGAGGAGCACTGGGAACTTGTAATGACAAAATAGGGTCAGTACCAATAATCTCCTCAAACATTGCATATTATACTGAAAATAGCACACTACACAATAGCATACAATACTTCCAATTTTAAAGCCTCAAGTTAGTTGTTTTGCTTGGTAGAGTTATTGCCAAGGGTTATCCAGTTCTAGTCATTTCTGTTTCTACAGCATCTTTTAAATCTGTCTTCTCTTTATTCCCATTCACTATCCTGGTTTAGGTTCTCATTGCCATCTCCCTAGACCATCAATTCTCAAACTTTTTGGTCTCAGGACCCTTTATATTCTTAAAAATTATTCAGGACTCTCAAGCATGTTTGTTTACATTGGTTATATCTATCAATATTTACCATGTTAGAAATTAAAACAGATACATTAAAAAGTTAATAAATTCATTTAAAATAACAATAAGTCCATGATATATTAACATAAATAACATTTCATGAAAAATTTTATTTCCCAAAACAAAAGATGAAGGAAGAAGAGTGGCACTGATTTTAATATTTTTGCAAATCTCTTTAATGTCTGGCTTAGTAGAAGATAGCTAGATTCTTGTATTTGCTTCAACATTCAGTCTATTGAGATGTTATTTTGATGGAAATATATGAAGAAAATTGGGCTTCAGAAGATATGTAGTTGGAAAATGGAGGAGTATTTTACTAGGCAAATTATATCTAGGCATTATTACAAAAATGGTTTTGACCTTGGGGATCCTTTCAAAGCTCAGGGACCTTAAGGGGTCCATGGACCACACTTTGAGAACCACTGCCTGAGGTCATCACAGTTGTCTTTCACATCTAACTTGTTCTCTGCTCCATTCCATCCTTTCTTTATACAGCTGCCAGAATAATCTTCTTAAGGCCTAACTTTCCTAAGATACTAAGGATCTGACCATATCACTCCTCTGCTCAACAATCTTCACTGGCTACTATGGCCCAAGTAGTAAAGTTTAAATTTTGTCTGGCATTGGTATCATCTGCTCTTATAGCCTAATCCTTATAGATCTTCCATGTACTGTATACTCCATATGAATTGGACCATTCTTTCCCTAAACATACTCTCACACACTCAAATCTTTGCTCACATCGTTCCTTACGTATACATACATTACTCTTCTTCCTATAATCTATGTTCTAACCAATCTGGCTTTTGCGCTTCCCTACACATGACATCTCATTTCCTGCCCCCTTTTTTTTCACTTATCTTTGCATTTCCATGCTTGGAATGCACTTCCTCACTTCAGCCAATAATCTTAGAAACCCTTGTTTCCTTCAAGACTCATTTCAAACCCAACCTTCTATGTGAAGCTTTTCCTGATTCCCCAACTCCTGGGACCTTCCCACTTAAAATTACTTTGATTTTATTTTGTAAATAATCTGTACATGCTTATGTATATATGTGCCTCTCTGCTTAAAGACAGGGATGACTTCATTTTTGTCTTTGTATTACCAGCACCTGGAACCTAGTAGGATTTAAGTGCTGAAATGTCCTCACATTGCATTTTCACCTATAAAACTCCTACACAACCTTTAAAGCCCAATTCAAATGCTATCTCTTCTCAGGTCATGGATAATGAATTCTCTTATCAGACTTAACATAGGCACATTGTATGGTAATTCTCTAATGCACTTATCATGTAATATTGTGTTAAAACCAGCTCACAGGCTCTCAAGAGATGATTGTTAAAATTTCAGTTTGAGTATATATACCACAAAAATTGGCAAAGGCTACAAGCCAGGGTTTGATTTATTTTTTGATGACTGATCACTGAAGACAGTATCAGAAAAAAAATCTTAATATATAGATTAAACTTAAAAGTTTATCAAGCATAATTTTTCCCCCTGGAGATCCAGTTGTTAAACCTTTACTAGTATAGTTCTGATTATAGTTATCTATGTTGGTGTTTCACCTGTTCCTAGACTGTAAGATCCTGGAGGTCAGAGAATATGTCTTATCTAAACTTTATATCACCCGAGAGCCTAGCATGGTGCTCTACACATGAAAGGTGTTTGATAAATGTTTGTCATATTTGTATTTATGTTGTTGAAAATAAATTTAGTAAAGTTTTATCAAGTAGTATTCTAAAACATCTTAATTTTTTTATTTTTAAAAGTCACCTTTAAAGTCATTAAGACCATACCTACACATGGGCCCAATTTTTTCTATTGTTCAGGTGTCACTCTCTACAACAAGTTGAAAATGGCATCTGAACAAGAGTAAAAAATATCTCCCCTTGGTGAAATACTTCCTCTAAACCATTAAATGGAAACTGCTATTTCTTTTAAATAGAACACACATTTCCCTCTAAAATACTTATTTAATATGGTAAAAAGGAGAAAAGAGGAGCATTAAGAAAACAATAGATTGTGAAGAAATGGATGACTTAGTGTCTCAGAGAAAAATTGATGCATGTCAACCTTCCATGGAAACCCTGAATGTCTTACTTGGCTATATTTGTTTCATTTCAGTTTCTTTGTTGAAGTGTGCCTTACGTTTGACTTATAAACGTTTAATTTGACCCTGTAATATCTCCAGTTAGGAGTCAGTGGGGGGAAAAAGATGTTTCTTCTAGACCTAAAAAAAAGCTAGAAGAAGTGAGCAGGAGAGGTATCTATATTCTAGGGAGCCCTTCACTCTCAGAGAACGTTGGATCTAGGCCTTAAGCATTAACAGATTATTGTCTCCTAATGGTCAGAGCTAACAACACTGTGGATGACACAGGTTCCTTACTGTGGTCTGATGCACAATACCTAGTACAGAGAGGGGTGAATGGAGAAGTAGATTTATTGCCTTCCCTAAAAACACATCAGGTAGGTGACTGCCTGCTCTGCCAATGTGTGCTTTGCTATCTCTGTTTGTTGGGTTTTGGTGTGTACCCGTGTAGGAAAAGCGAATACTGGCTTCCAAAATAGAGACTGTTCTGTTGTACAGAGCTCTCCAAGGTACCTCCATGGCTAAAGTCCTCACTCTTTCTAGTATGTTAATCTCATACCTCCTTCTGGAGTATTGAATACTTGGTCAACACTGGCAGGCCCCTCCCCTTTCCCATTGACAACTCGAACATTCAGCGTGTAATGGCTAAAAGGCTCCAGGCCTGGCAACATGCCATGGGTCTTGTTACCACTGAAGGTGAGGATTTTTTTCTCAACATGGCGCCTGTTTCTCTTAGATGAATTTTTCACTTTCCAGTAGTAAATCTAAAATGAGAGAAAGAAAGTTAGCAACATATGAAGGAGAGAACACTTAAGGGTTTGGGGTCAAACAAACATAGTAGATTTATCTTCTTTCAGGAAAATTCCTACTTCCTAGATTTACAGCTAGGTGGGACTTTAAAGGCCATCTGGTCCAACATCCTCATTTTACAGATAAGAAAACTGAGTCTGAGAGAGCTTAAGTGATTTGCCCCGGGTCACACAGCTAATAATTGTCTGAGATATGTTTTGAACTCATGTCTTCATGGCTCCTTGAGTAAAAGGAATCTGAAGCCCACAGATCACTGGGAAAATTAAATTAGCTATAAATAATATAATGGTATACCTACAGTGAATACAGTGCCAGGCCTAGAGTCAGAAGATTCATTTTCCTGAGTTCAAATCCAGCCTCAGATACTTACTAGCTATATGACCCTGGGCAAGTCACATAACTCTGTTTGCCTCAGTTTCCTTACATGTAAAATGAACTGGAGAAGGAAATGGCAAATGATTCCAGTATCTTTGCCAAGAAAACCCCAAATGGAGACACAAAGAGTCTGACACTACTGAAAATGACTGAACAAAAACATTTTGTTAGTCAGACATAAAAGTAATAGTCAGCTCCAGTACATCCAGGAAATGGATAATAATGATTAAACTCAAAATCATTGGTAAAGAAGGATACAGTGATTATAGAAATGATAATCTGATGATAGAGTAAATTTTAACTACCCAGTAATTTTATATTTGGGAGAATCAAAAACTGATTATGGCAGCTTTAATATATTTTGTGCTTGCTTTATTTCCTTAACAGAATAGCAAAATAGAAAAGAGGAACTTTTTTCATGATTACTCCAGGACTATCAGTTAGCATTAAATCAATTAATCAACAATTATTTATTGGGTACAGGTTATATTTAATTCTAGGATATAATGTAGAAAATGTATGATACGAAATGATGTAGGTGAGAAAAATTCCTCTTGGCTTTGGACGCCATCCAACATATCACACCATTACTTGTTGTTTTCTCCAGCATTCTTATGGCATAACTAGGCTGTGCCGAGGATAAATCATTGCTTGTGTGCATATTATTTTGCCACATTTAATTTTCAATAAAATGAGCATGATAACAGTTTAAAAATTAACTTCCTGGAGTCAGAATGAACAAGCCAGGATGTTTAGTAGAGTTAAAACAGTCACTAGACATTTTATCACCCTTAAATCTCCATTAATCAGAACTTCTATGCTTTGTCAGTGCAACAATGGACATTGTTAATAAGAAAGACCCTGAGGCACTCTAAGGTCTCAAAGTGCCACATGAATTATCAAAGAAAGACCAAATTGTGTTTTAGCTTTTGTCCTGCCTTGTGATTTCATCAGGTGTGGAACATTTCTACTCATTCTTATTGGAAACTTTTCAAACTTATAGTTCTGGAGAGTTGCCTGGGCCACTGAGAGGTTAAGAGATGGTCACACAGCTTGTCCACAGGCTCCTTAATTCTGTGTCATAACTGGGACTTGAACTCATGTTTTCCTGACTCCAAGAATGGTACTCTATGTACCACTCCCTTGATTCTCTAATTTTAGTATTAAGTACATTTTAACATATTACCATTTTTTGAAAGCTGGTAATCCATATATAGTAGAATGTTAATTTCCAGAATATTTGATTATTTTAGGCCAAGTAGAATATTTTATATTCTATATATAATATTATATATGTAATATGCAATATATAATATGATATATAATATTTTATCAAAAATATTTTATTTATTGTATGGCATTAAGAAATTCTGAGACTGTTTAGGTGTGGGTCATAACTGAAAGCATCTAGAATGGATCAGATTCTTAAATCTATTTTCTAGATCTGAATCTAGATTTTTCTAGATTGCTTCTATTATATGTTCTATATCAATATACTAACATATTCTATATTAACTCTATCAAATCTAGTTTTCAAACTCCTAATACTTGATAACTAGCATTTATATAGTACTTTCAAATTTGCAAAGGTCTTGGGATATATTATCTCATTTGATCCTTATAATAGCCCTGTGAATTAGGTGCTATTATTTTCCCCATTTTATAGATGAGGAGACTAAGGCTGAGAAACGTTAAGTGACTTGACCAATGAAGCCTATAAATGTCTGAGACTGGATTGGAACACTGGTCTTCTTGATTTCAAGTTCAGTAATTCTGAGCATCCCCAAACTTATGATTCTATAACTGATACTCAAAGTGGATCTAGCTCAGTATGGCAAACTTTGTCTTTCTCAAAGCTTTGATTAAAAGACAAAGGAAAAAGTGATAGTGGTGGAAACGATGGGGAAGTGTTTTCCTTTACTTGCCCGATAGCCTTTCAAGTGTCCTCGAACACTTTTTGGGGGTACTGGCTCCCAGTGCACCTCAGCCAAAGTGCTGTTCACCACATTCACATGCACATTGCTGGGAGCCACCATAGGTACTGGAAAAATGAAAGGAGCAGGAGTTACAAGCATGTTATCACATTATTTACTCTGGGTTTTATTTATGAAATTCTTGGCTTAGAAATAGACTTTAATAGTCCCCTTCTAAAGGCTGTCAGAGACTGAAAGATAGTATATCTCCATTTGGTTACTGCTTTAGCAGAGCAAAACATTAAAAAAAATAGAATTCTACTCTTGCATTCTGGACACTTTTTTTGAGGACATATATTTAAAAATTCTGGCTCCCCAAGCAATTCTTTTCCAAGCATTGCCCATAGAAATAATATTGCCGTGAAATATTGGCCTCTTCCCTCCCCTCTAATGGCTCTAGACACTGCATGACTATTTGAGTGGCAGCCATATTTACTTTTTTCTCAGAAGAGCATAAAAATGCCAGTCATAGTGAAGCACACCTGCAATCCCTTTTCCTGGGGGAGGTTGAGGCTGGTGGATTACTTGAGTGTGGGGTTTCTGAACTGCAGAACTCAGGTACTAAACAGATGTCTGTACGAAGTCCAGAGCTAAAATGGCAAGCCCCACAGAAGTAGAGAGCCCTCAGGCTTTAAGAGCTGGCCCACGTTGGAAAACAGAATAGGCTGAAGCTTCAAAATTGGCCAACACTGATAATGACTGTGGGTGACCCCTGCACTTCCAAGGATCCAGTTACAAAAAAAGAGCATAAATAAAAAAGAACAAGACACTCACAGTCTTCTCCAGAATGGCCTATGATTATCATTGGCTCTGGAGCAAATCCCACATCATTTAGTGCCTGTACTTTCACCAGATATGGAACAAAGGTTGGTGTGCCTGATACGATGTACTTGGATACATTTGCAACTACAACAGATGTCCACTCATCGTCACCATCTTTCTGGCGCCAGCTGACTTTATACTGAAGACCAGGTCCATTAGAATCAAAACCTTTTAAGGGCTACAGAAAAAAAACCCAAACAAATTACAAACCAATAACAACATAAAAATCAAACCACAAGAAATAACCCAAATCAACTTGCTTCTTTCAAAGTCAGACTGCATCAATTATACCACACTAACACTTTACTCTTACAATAAACTCAGTTCCTAAATGTAAATAAAATCAGTAAATACAGAAAACACTGAAATCAACAGCATAAACAATTTTCTCAGGGAACTGTCTTCTTTTCTAACAGTGATGGAAAACAAAGTTTATTGGAGACCAGAGTCTCAAAAAGTTAGACTGTTTGTTACAATATAATAAATATAGGGAAAACATCTGAGAATGAGGAGTGAACAATTAAGCTACATGGGTACATGCAAAAGAGTAAGCAGTAATAGAGAAAGAAGAGTTAGCTCTGCATCCTGGCTTAATAACTGTTTCACTAACAATCCTTACTCTAACACACACATACATACACCCCCCTTCCTCCCCATTTACTTGTGGGGTTGCAGAATGCTACAACTGCATGAGACCTTAAAAGGCAATCTAGTGCAGGAATTCTTAGTCTGGGGGACTTTATTTTATTTATTTTTAAAAAATAATTAATTTATTTATTTTTAGTTTTCAATGTTCACTTCCATAAGTCTGGGGACTTTAAAAATTTTTTAAAGTACATTTCACTGTAGTTGGTTTCCTTTGTAATCCTATGTACTTTGTTTTATGCATTTAATAAACATTATTCTGAACAGGAGTCCACAAGCTTCACCGGACTAGGTTAATAACCTCTGATCTAGTCCAATCCCCTCAATTTAATAGATGAGGAAATTGAACCCAGAGAGGTTAAATGTTTTGAAATGGGTTGTACAGTTAGTTGGTAGTGGGGCAGGGAATGGAATATATGAATTTACCAAATCTCCCAGGGATGATAGCTTTCTACCTGCCCAGTGTAGGTGTTGTTTGTCCTTCTTCTCAAAGATGACCATGACATCAGGAAGGTGATGCCATGACATGCAAGTGAATTGGATTTAAGTTCGGGGGTATGTGCCACCAGCCTCACTCTCCCTCTGGAGCCATCTGGGTCCAATGACCAGATACAGATCAAGACAACTGGAGATATACCCGGTGCGGGTGCTGGTTCCCACAAACTACTAATGCAAGGCATGCGGAGTCCTATCCAAACCAGCACAGACTACACTCTTTATATATGTTACTTCATTCAAATGCTAACTTGTGTCATTTCTATTTCGTTACAGAAGGGCTATGGTTAAGGTGGATTTGGGATCACAGAATTTATAGTTGCAAGGGACCTTGGCGATCTAAGTAAATTCCTCATGTTTGGATGAGAAAATTGACTTGTTACATTTTATTTTGAGAAGTCAAATATCTTTTTTGTTGATTTGATCCATCATTTGATAAATATAATCATCAAGGATTACATTTATATAGCATTAAAGTTTCAGGGTACTTTGCTGACACTATGTGAGGTATGTAGTTTAAATATTAGGGGTGAGAAAACTGAAGTTCATAGAAATGGTGTAATGTTCCCATAAGCATATAGCAAATGACTGTTACTACATTTTAAAAATGAAAGTGTTAAAGAAGACACATGTGAAGACTCTATCCTCTGCTCCTGCGCAATGATGGTAGAGTCCATGGGTGGTGAATATTTTATACATTGTCATATATTTTCAATGTATTGATTGGTTTTGCTGATTTTTCTCCCTTTCACTTTTTCTTTCCTTTTCAAATAATTCTTTGTTATAAAAGATGGTTTTCTGGGAGGGGTAAGGAAGGGGTCAAATGGGAGATTTAGGTGATGTAAAAACAAAATATGTCAATAAAATTTATTTTAAAAGATGAGGTTGTTTGGCTAATCAGCTCACCTGCCATGTAATCACCAAATTATCAGGCTCTGATCCTATTCCTTCAACAGCAGTAGGATTCTCTTCTGGTTCTAGAAGTTAAATAGTAACACGTGAGGAAACCCTCATTCTGGACTTTTGGCTTTTGAACAGGCAACTCTTCTTAAAAAACAGAATCATTAATTTACCTGCTGCTTTCGTCATATAATATTCCGATGCTTCACTGGGCAGACTTCTACCAATACTGTTGACAGCAATTACACGGAAAGAATATTTTACATAAGGAGAAAGTTTCAACTCTACTGTTGTCTGTGTTCCAGGAACATCAGTCTGGTAATGCCATATGCCGGGCTCATGCAAGGCATCTTCGTATTCAATGATGAAATCTAGCAAAAATGAAAAACAAACAAAAAGATCCCCAGTGAATTTCACCCACAGAAGAGACCTGGTTGCCAAGGATGAAAAAATGAATGGGCTATTCTAATAATGTTAATGATAGCTGACATTTTAATAAGGCTTTATGGCTTACAAAGTGCTTTACATAAGTTTTATAATTTGATCTGTCTGGTAATGTGAATTACCTAACTTTGAAGAAAAATCACATTTAAATAGCTACTATTTCCTACAGCAACCATTATTATAAATATTTAAACGTCCCAGTCTATATGAGGTTTAGCAAATTAAAAAAGGTGTGGAGTTGATCAGGAAATCTCTAGAAAATGTTAAATTGTGTGTGTGTGTGTGTGTGTGTGTGTGTGTGTGTGTGTGTGTGCATGCATGTGTGTTGCTCTGGCTTAGAAGTATTATACACTTCTGGAAAAATACGTAATAAATGCTTTGCCTTAATGCTGCCTTGCCCCACCCTCTGGGGTCATTACTAAAGATTCCAAAGGGCAAGTATATTTTTAAGGATAGTTTAGCATCTTGAGACGATAGTTTTGGCTTATTCTCCTAGATAAGAGTTATCTTGCAAATGGGTGGTTGGGGGGGGGAACCCTGATGTAGACAAGTCTACATTGCTTTGAATGGGCAGGGGGAAAGGAGAAGAAGAGGAGAGAGGGAGAAGAGGTAGAGATAGAAAAAGGAGGAAGAAAGAGAAATAGAGAAATGTTCAGTAGTGCCCCTACTCTTAGCTACTTCTTTTTCTCTCTCTAGCCATTACTTTCATCTCCTGGTTTGTCCCCTCTGCCCCCACCAATCACTTAATAACTTGACTTTAAAGATTAAGCCAAAACTAAAAAATCCCATTATGCTCCCCTATTATACTTTAAAAATCCTAATTACAGAATTAAAAATTTTAGATCTGAAAGGCTCCTCAAACAATTTACTAGACTGTAATTTTTACAAGGACAGGGTCTTAGTCTTATTTAAATGATGTATCTCCTTCAGTCCTTAGTGCCATTGTCTGCACACATTATGCACTTAATTAAGGCACATTGCATCTATAGGATTATAGAATAATTGGCTTCAGAGCTGGAAGCACCATCCTCATTTTATTCATGAAGAAGTGGAGACACAGAGATGTGAATTGGCTTGATTTGCATTGGGTCATACAGCCAATTGATAGTAGGACTGATACCAGAAGCCAGCCCTCCTAAGCCCAGTGATCTCTGCACCTCTTCAGCCAGTTATCCTCATTATCTATCTGGCATATGGTAAAGCTCTCTTGTTTTATTGTTACTGATATAAAGACAAGCATGTATAAGCTACTCAAAATACATCCTACAATTTGTGTAGGGTGGTTTTTTTTGTTCATTTTTTTGGAGGGGGAGTATTCTGGACCTGTGATTTCACCAATATAGAGAACTCCTAGTATGCAAGCTTCCTCTACCAACAAAGAATGGCAACTTGCGTGTAATTTAAAGACTTAGAGAGTTGCCTGGGACATTGAGAGATTAAGTGATTTGCTCCAGGGTCACTCAGGCAGTGTTGGAGGTAGGACTTGAACCCAGGTCCTCTTGACTCTAAGGTTGGTCTTTATCCACTTGGCCACACTTTCTTTTGTTGTACATATAGCAAGGAAATTCTATCTCTCACCTGGAGAGAACTCTTAACAACTACTAGGATGACAAGCAACACTCCCCTAGTCTATGTTTATTTTGGGGGCACACATATATCCCTCCATAAAAGCTCTGCTCACACGGCTCTTTGTGACATGGAGAAGTCTTAGATTCTTAAAGGCTTTGCCAGAAGAATACCAGCTCTAGTAGTCCACCAAACTAGAAAACTTTTTAAATAGTCAGGTCCTGATCAGCATGAATAAGGACTCCCACAAAATGGCCATGCTATTTGATTTGCATTGCATATTTACAATGGATTGGAACCAATTACTCTGTTCTATATAACTATGACTTCAAAGAGTGACTAGCTTTATCGACAAAGCACCAGACTTCATGCCAGGCATCTGAGTACTAGCTCAAGTCCAGAGAGACTCATCACCAGAAGTTTGGCAACCAGGTAACAAAATGTTTTGGCCACAGTAGCTAGTGAAGACTGCCTGATTAAGGAGCTGAAGGATTGTAAACTATATCAGAATAGAGTCCACAGTGATGAAGTTCAGGCCCTTTGACTATTGAAATGTTATACGTAGTATATTTAAATATTTGACTAATTCATAGAAGTTTCTTTCACTAACACTTAAAAGACATCAACTAGCATGCTTTAATATTTCCATTGCTATCTTTATGCTATTAAATTAGCAACTGAATTGCATTCTAATAAAATTCATTAAAATAGTTCAAATGACAATAGACTGGGTAAAACAGCATGTAGAAAAATAAACATTATTGCATTTTGGCATATACTTCATAAATACATACATTCTCCTTCAGCATCCACATATTTTAACGAAATGCAACAGTTTGCATTCTCAAAATCTCATTTTAAATAGAATGACCTTTAACAGTTGGCTTCCATGGACTATTGTTAATCAGGAAACCAGGGCCTATGAATTCAGGGTACATCAATTATTATGTTGACAAAAGATTTCTTCTCAAAGATACTATTTTTGTTAATAGAAAGCTATTTCATGAAAGTAAAGTGTAATGACATCTACAAAACTGTAAGGCAAACAGCTTTACCATCCAATGATAGCTTTTAAATGTGAAAAACTGCCAAATTATTCTAAACAAATGATTAAATCTAGCTGATTGATTTAATTAGGAGTAATGTATAATACAGCCAGTTGATGAAGGATTTTGACAATTCAAAGAAGAAAAAGAAAAGTATTGAATAATAGTAAAATTACTTGGGACTTCAGAGCATAGCTAGCTTTCTCTATAGTTTGGCTGTGAAGGGAGAAATTATAGCACCATAGTTTAAAAGGCTGGTAGAGTCAAATGTAGGTTTTTTGAATTTTTAAAGGATGGGGGAAATCTGGGTGTGTTTGAAGGCAGTTGTTAAGAAGTCACTGGATAAAGAGAGGTTGCAAATTAGAGTGAGGAAGAGGATGGCTGAAAGGATCCATTCCTAGAGGAGACAGGAAAGTATCAAGGGTACTGCTCTTAATAGTGATAATGTAAAGACACATAATATTTGTGCTCTGGGGAATACTTTCAAATTTTCTTTAAATGTCTTCGCTTGGCAATAGTAAAATTTCTTTAAGGCTTTACCCTAATCAAATTAATTCTCTGGGCTCAGGTTAATTCATAAAGCTAAATTAATTATATTCCACTATGGTATGGCCTATTAGAAAGAGCTCTGGGCTGGGAGTTAAGAGATCAGAGTTATATTCCTAGATTCCTCACTAACTATATTACCTAGCCAAATAGGCCTTCTAGATGTTCCTCATAAAAGGCACTTCATCTCCTGCTTTTGCAGTGACTATCTCCCATGCCTGGAATATACTCCCTCCACACCTCTGTCTCTCAGAATTTCTAGTTTCCTTTAAGTATCATCTTGCGTTTCACAGTGGCCTGTCTTGATTCCCTGCTGCTACTAGTGCGTTAACTCTCTGCCTTCCTACCTCATAAACTTTTATCTATTTTGTATATATCTATATATGCACATAGGACAGCTAGGTGGCACAGTGGAGAGAGAGCTGGGCTTAGAGTCAGGAAGACTCATCTTCATGAGTTCACATCTGACCTCAGACACTTATTAAATGCCTGACTCTGGGCAAGTGACTTGACCCTGTTTGACTCAGTTCCTCATTTATAAAATGAGCTGAAGAAGGAAATGGAAAAATGCTCCAGTATCTTTGCCAAGAAAATCCCAAATGGGGTCATGAAGAGCCAGACGTGACTGAAATGACTCAATGACAACAACAAATATATGTACATGTTGTCCTAGCCAGACTGTGAGTTACTAGGGAAGGGACTTTTCATTTATATTTTTGTATCCCTAGGACCTAGTGCAGTACCTGGAACACCACAGATGCTTAACTGATTGATTGATTGGCCTAAGAGCATCACTTTATCTACTTGGCTTCAGTTTATTTCAATGAACCTTTATTAAGTTTCTATTATGTACAAGGAACTTTTAGGGATTAAAAAAAAGAAAAAAAGCAGTGATCCTTGTTCTCAAGGATATTTCCTTATCCCAAGAATATCTGTTTTACCTACCTCAGAGAGTTGTCATGAGGTTCCAATGAAATGAGATATAACTATGCTTTGAAAAAGCGTAAAAGCACCCTATAACTGAAAACACTCCACCATTAACAGAAAGGTCTGGTAGGTAGATCAGTTTGGTGGTTCAGTCAGATGAGAGGCAGCACAGATCCCTGATGGGAAATTATGTTGCACAAATCCAAAGTGCTTCAGAAGTTGGGAAAAAAAAATCAGTCTTAGAATAATTGCTATACAGGAAATGGCTGAACACACCTGTAATCGGGCTATTGTTTTCATCTCCTGGTATCCATGACAGCTGAACACTTCTTTCAAGAAGACTTGTCAGTTCCAAATCAAAGGGTGGATTTGGACGATCTGCAGGTCAAACACATCCATTATGATCAATCACGTTAGTAAAGCAGACCCACCAGTTATTCATTCTACTATTCAAAGAGGAATAGGGTGGAAGGAAATCTTACAGACATATCACAATTCAGTCTTAACATGATATTTACTGAAATGAAATGGAAATAACTGAGGTTTCTTGAACCACAAGCCACAGATGAAAACTTCCATTGAATTAATATTGCTGAGTTCCACTTGTTTGTTTCTCAAGTGAAGATCAATCATTTATAATTTTAAAAATGGAAACTGAAATGCACAGATCACCAACATTTTCAGTTTGTGAGTTTTCTCATAAATGCGAATGTATGCTTGTATAAGAAATCAAAACTTCATTTCTACCAAAGTAAAAATGAATAAGAGCAACTTCTAGAAATGAAGTCTGACAAATACAATGGAATTTACTAATTTCAGCATGCATATTTAAGCCAGATGCTTAAAGTCATTGCCTAGTAACTGCAGTGGGTTAGGGACTTGGGGAGGTACAGTTACCCTTGTATGACATCAAAATATGCTTTAACATAATCATTATGTTACAAAATATCCTCTCCATCAGATTCCCACAACTCCCAGGCAATAACATGGAAAATGGTCCTTCAGTGTTCCATAGAATTAGTGTGCCAACCTGAACACCCACCTAAGGGAATGACTTTGACCTTGGAGGTGAAAAAAAGCCCGAAAAGATATTTTTTTAAATTTTTGTTTATTCATGCAGAAGTAGAAACAAAAGATGCCAACAAATTAAAGCCCCACTACCATATTACATATGACCAAAATTAAAACCCAAGGGATTCTGTGCAAAATTAGATTTGCTATTCAAGTGCTAAATAAAAAAGCAGCCTTGATAAATGGAAAATAACCTAGAAAGTCATTTCTGATTTCATTTTCAGGTGTCAGAAAAATCACATGTCATAAATGCATTATCATTTGTCATTCTTTAGTGATTTGTATCACATGAACATAAATCAAGCTAACTCTGTAACAGAAATGCAAGAATGATGGCAATGAATCTCTTTTGATGCTCTTTTTTCGGGGGAAGGGTACAATTTTCCAGAAATAGAAACCAGACATAACCCTTAAAGAACTGAAATGAAAAATAATTTGTGGAGTTATGCATCTTAAATAGTTTTTTTCACTCTGCAAGTATAAAGGATATTCTTTTAAATTAATATGTCATTTTTATAATGTTCTTGTCAAATTACATAAATTTCATCAAATGAATTGATTGTATAATCATCCATAAAATTTTTAGAAATGAATGATGCCATGCTGAGTAAAAGAAACTCCAATGATAAAATGAAGAAACTACTTATGATAGTAAATGCCCAGCAAAATAAAAATTTGACATATTTCTCCTTAAAGATAAACAATCAATAAGTGGCATGTAATGGAAAAAAATACTGATTTGGAGATGTGAAGCATGTTGAAGAGAAGACAGAAAAAGATTTGAATTAGTTTACCGTAAACAGGAGCTGGAGTTGGAGAAGGAGCCAGAAGGACGTTAATATAAAAGAATTTTTTTCAAAGTTAGTAATAGAAAGATACAAGATTTTACAAGCAGAGACTGCATACTATAGAAATTATAAAATGAAGTTTACTTATGGAAATATGGCACTAATAATCACACAGCAGCAATGTAGAAAAAATTGATTTTGTCTAAAAATCACTCCATCATCTCCCTATTTGCTCACTAAACTACTTTAGGAAGAGTTATTCACTATGTATGTACACTACTAGTTGCTGAGTTTGTTTGTATTATAGACATAGTCTCAACAAAAAATAAGACAATAGTTATTGGTTGAATTATTATACTCTTCCTAAAATAAAACTGAGGTATTCACAGTTTTTCTATTCTTTGCTCAGAAACTTTATGTATAAGTTGTCTTGTATTTGTTTAATGTTTGACTGTCTTCTTACCAACAACTCTAAGCATAGCACTTGCAGAAACCATGTCCAGAGATGTATTTGCTACACAAGTGTAGGTTGCATCATCTTCATCACTTATGTTCATTATAAGCAGATGGTCGTTATCGACACTGAACCTACAAATGGAACAGATTCAGAGTAATCCCAAAGCTCATTCACTTTACATATTACATTATTATTTATAGGTACATTCTTAGCTCTGCAGAAATAACTTGCCACTATCAATACAGAAAAATGATGTTTCCACATTATTGTAACATTGTAGTTTTTATAGCAATAATTTTTGTATTTTTTTCAAAGATGGTTCTATGCCCATGATCTTAATTATGCAGTTCCAGAGTATGGATCAATTTAAGAACCCCTGATAAATAAAAATCAAAACCTACAAAACAGATATATAAACACGGTTATATGGCTTCACCTTTGTAAGTTTATATCTAGTGCCTAATACAGTGCTTAGCACATAGTGGGTGCTTACTAAATGCTTGTCAACTAAGAACTTGTTATTTACTATACCTATCTTGAGTGATAGTCAAAATGTACATATCCCCCCCCCAAGTAAAAAAAAGCGAGGAAAGAAAAGAAAACCTGGTTTATCAGCAAGAGGGATGGAAATATAAGTTTATATCAGTGGTAACAACTAGTTTCCCCCAAAATTTGAGCCCAGTATGCTAAATATTTTCTTAGAATTTCTTTTTGGTTTGAAAACAATGGCATATGCACACGTGTACTTAAAACCTTTTTCAAGTTAAATTTTTTTCACACTTACTAGGTTTGTCTTTTTAAAACATTTAATCATTTATTTTTTTCTTCTATCACTGACTAGATTTCTTACATAAAAAGTTGAGGAAGAGGGAGAGAGGGACACTGAGATACAGAAAGAGCCAGGCAGGGCACCCATGCTCAAAAGTATCTCAGAATTTGGAGCTTATTAGTAGACTTTTCTGCCTTTTGACTAAGAACAAGTATAAGTGTTATCAGGTCTCATTCAAGGAACACAGGTTTACATTTTCTGCAGTCGTCTAAAAGGGAGGCAATGTTCCACCCAGAAGAGGGCAATGGTACTCACACAAAATGAAAAACAGTTTTTAATGAACAGAATAACTGTCCCAAAGCGAGCTTTACTCTTCACCATTAACTTGTTAAGGACATCACACACACACACACACACACACACACACACACACACACACACACACACACACACATGATAGAAAGATAGATAGATAGATAGATAGATAGATAGATAGATAGATAGATAGACAGATAGATAGATAGATAGATATTATAACATGTGACATCAGATCCTGGCTTATTACCTTCCCCTGTGTGCCATTGATCATGATGATTGTTAGCATTTATACAGTTCTTTAATGTTTCTAAATTGCTTTGCAAATATGACCTCATTTTATCCACACCACAACTTTGGGAGGTAGGTGCTCTTTTAAACCCCATTTTGCAGAGGAGCAAACTGAGGCATACAGAGAGACTTGCTCAGAGTCATACAACTAGGAAGTGTCTGAGGATGGATTTGAACTCAAGTCTTTCTGGCTCTAGGTCCAGCACTCTATCCAGGTAGCCACCTCTGCCTCAAATAAAAAACCATGAGTCCTTTGAAATTTCTGGTGAGGATTTGGAAGTCCTATGGTAATTTCAAGTATTATATTCTTTGACTATAATCATCATAAAAACATTATGTAGAGTTCCATGCTCTTGATGAGACACAAAAAAATGTAGATCAATATCCAGAACTTAAATATTCTACCTCTGCCCCATCTTGAACTGCATAAGAGATACACAGACATAAAGAAGTGGACAAACTGAACATCCTGTTTCAGTGCCTCTTCCAAGATTTAAAATGTTCCAGAAGAGAGATTTAATAAACATAATATAATAATACATAATAAAATAAATATTTATATATTCTTGGGATATCAGTCATTAGAAACACAAAAAATAAACCATTGTGGAATAACTACACAAAAGACATGGGCCAATAGGTAGTTTTAAGAGCACGGGACAAAAGAGAACAGAAAGTGATTGGAAAATCATGAGAAAAAAATCTTCTGCAAATACCTTCCATCATTTGGCAGCTCACCATTATCCTTCAGCCAAGTGAGAGTAGTTATTAAAGTTGGATCATGTTTCACTGTGCATTCAAAGGAAACTTTGCCACCTCTTTGCACAACTTTGTATTCGGGCTGTTTAATGATTCTGGTGGGATCTGAAATTTGTAAAGTTATTTTTAACCATTTGAAAAAGTAGGAAACTTGCTCGATGACACATGCCGTTTAGAAACCAAGGCCATCTGTCTTACCTTTGATTTCTAGATGAACATCATTTTTCGCCATCCCTAACTTGTTCCTTACTACACACGTGTATGTGCCTGCACTGTCCTTCTGGGCCACTGGAATTTCCAAAGTTCCATTGTCATGAAACACATATGTGTCCTCCTGGAGAACGCTTCCTTTTGTTCCCTTAAACCTATGTAGCAAAAAGAATATGAAGAGAAAATATTTAACATTCATTTAAACTCAGACACATAATGCTCTGGTTTTAAAGGTCAAGGCAAACATTATCTGCATTTCAGTGTGAATTGTAGAGTTGGGTACAATTACGATGCCTAGGAGCATTCTTGCTTCTTTACGCATAAAAGTCTGCGTGTGCTACAGGTAAAATTAAATAAGCTCTGAAAAGAAAGTGAGTACATTAGACAGCTTGACTGTATGTGCAATTAGGTACATAAAAAAAATAACCATGAGCATGTTAGCAATAATTTTAAAATGGCTATGAAGTCGGCAAAATGAAAACTACTCTCCCTAAAGGGTCATTTCCACTCAGTTTCTAAAAGAAAATGGGAACTCTAGTTTAATACATAACTTCCCCTGCTAGGGACAAGGTAACTAAGAGATTTCAACTACAAGACAGATAGAAAGGATGCATGGGAAGGCATGAATAGTGAGGCAATATCAATGACAGGAAGTGGCATGTTGTATTCTTTCAGATCCCAGAATTGTGGCCGCCTTGGAGAGATGATATGGATAACTGAGAAGGAGAACTAGACAGGGTGAACATAGATGTGGCAGTAGTGTCATAATCATAGTTATTGGGGAGCCCACTATTTCCAATTTCTATTGTGTGGTAGTAGACCTCTGTATCCCCTAATTTAGTTATTTTGTTCCTTCCCTTTCTGGAACAACTGCTGTCACTCTCCTGTCTGCCTTTAGTTAGGCCAAAATATTTAGGGGGAAATGGTGGTGACAGTCTTGATTATGAGCATATGAGGCTGTAAATGTAAATAGTTGAAGGAGGGAGTAGGAAGCACGTGGGAGAGTGAAAGATCACAGCCATAGAATCTTAGAGGTGAAAATAATTTTAGAGTTTAATCTAGTCCATCTTCCCATTCAATGTTGCTGCATTATTTCTACAGCATAACCAATAGGGGCTTCCTATCTCATAGGGCAGCTTCTTCCATTGTTGGGCAACTGTGGGCAGTGTGGTACAGTGGGAAAAGCAATGGATCTGGAATCAGGAGATCTGGGTTTGAATCTCAGTTTTGCTACTTACTACCTGTTTGTCCTTGGATGAGACATCTTTCTTTGCTGGTCTCAATTTTCTCAAGTGTAAAATGAAGGAGCTTATCTAATTCAGAAGTGATAAACTCAGAGCCAACTACTGCTCATGCCCCAAACTAGATTAAAATATAATCAGGAAATGTTTAACAAAATAAATAAAAAATACAATATAATATGGATAATGGTAATGGGCAGTCTGTTCAAAAGAGTTCAAATGTGACCTCAGCCCTTACTAGCTGTGCCTATATATGTGCCTTTAGAATACAGTGAGTGCTATATAAAATCAGCTATTATTATTACTATTACTAGCCGTGTGACTCTGGGCAAGTCACTAACCTCTGTTTGCCTCAGTTTCTTCATCTGTAAAATGGGAATAATGGCAACCCTTCCCTCCCAGGGTTGTTATGAGGATCAAATGAGACAATAATTGTAAAGCACTTAGCACAGCGCCTGGCACATAATAAGTACTAAGCAAATGTTAGCTGGAATCATCATTATTACTATAATTATTATTATTACTGTTAATTTTGGTTTTTATCTAAGTCACTATGCAGCCCACAGGGCTCCGCTTTTATTTAAGTGACTCTATTGATATAAATGATTCCCAATGTCTTTTCCAGCTCTAAACGATACCTGTTGTTCAGTTATTCAGTCACATCTGACTCTTTGTGACCCTGTAGAGTCAGACCATACACACCAATACTGTTCATGGGCTTTTCTTGGCAAAGTTACTGGAGTGGTTTTGCCATTTCCTTGTCTACTAGATTAAAGCAAACAGAAGTTAAGTGACTCACCCAGGGTCACACAGTTAGAAAGTGTCTGAGACTGAATTTGAACTCAGGTCTTCCTGACTTCAGGCTCAGTGCTCTATCGACTGAGCCATCTAGCTGCCTCTATATGATGACTTCTCCCCGACCCTCCACTCCCCACCCTTAATTCAGTATCATATTTGCCCTCTTCCTCAACTCCCTCAAATCTTTGTTCCTCAGATAATGACATTGACAATAAGGAACAGAGCCCAGAGCTGGAAAGCATGTAGTAGAGGTCCATTCATTGGTTCTTGAGGGAATAGTTTCCTGTGAACATCCTGGGGAGGGAGGTGACACCCATGGTGTGGCCAGAATCTGTTGGCTGGCTCTGCAAAAGGTGACAGCTCAGGGCAGGAAGCCTGACTGCCTTCTAGGACCACCTTCTCTAATTAGTGCATTCCCTTCCAGGTCTACATCATTGGGATGGGCCCAGTCTGGCCATGTTCCATTCCCCTCCCAGCTGTGATTCTGACTCTCCAGACTTTGCCGCCTTGCCCCTCCTGGTTGTGCACCTTCTCTCCTCCAACTCTTCACCACCCTTTTTTCATGAGTTGACATGCTCCAAGAATTTGTCCTTAGTGACCATTCTTTTGTTAGAAGATCACAGATATGGAGCTGAAAAGGATCCAGGAGGCCATCTAATCCTATACCTGCATTTTATAGATGGGGAAACTGAGGCCCAGGGAGATTAATTCACTCGTCCAAGGTCACACAGCAAATAAATATAGAGATGACACTGGAACCCAGGTTCTCTGACCACAGAGCTGGTGCTCCTTCCATTGTACCACAACACCATCCCCAATGGTAATGAAGCTTGTTTTGATTTTAGCTAGGCAGGTACTCAGACAGCAGACACAGCGTGTGTCTAGGATGTTAATTAAAACATTTCTAGCTTTCTGTCAGAAGCGTCAGTCTGTTGGCTTAGCCTTTGGGAACCCAAGATTACCTCCATGACATGATCAGGCATCAGAAGAGGACATTTGTGAAGACAATACTATTTTTAAATAGCCAAATCTTTGTTCAGGAAACAATTGCTCTACTAGTGCAAAAAAGTCCCAGGTTACTTCCAAGGGGTTGTCCACATGTAGCACTTCATTGAATGGGAGAGCTCACTCATTTCCAAGAGAAAAGGTCACAACACATCCAGGATAATCTGCCTATCCTATACAATTTAGCCAGGTAGTCTAAGTAGTTTACCACAAGGTGTTTACCCAATCAATGTGCTGTGGGCTTTCCCCTCATTTTCTTGTCACTGTGAAGAAACCAATGGAACATGAGAACTTTCCATTTGATTATCTTTTGTTTTGACTACACAGCTGGCCATTTTCTTATCCTACATACAGTATTGGAATAAAATTCAGCATTAGTTTTTTTATCCCCTTTATTTTTTGAATAACAGAACAACATATTTATAAGTGAGGCAATACAATCTATGAAAGCTTTTGAAAGATTAAGAACAACACATTTTAAGAAGCTTTGCACCCAAAAACATACCTACGGCATTAAGATTATTAAAATGGTTATTTTTACAAGCTGTTATTCTGTCTTTGTATTACATTCTTTTCATTTTGTGCTAAAGATTGGTTTGTATATTAATAAAACATTCTTTTTTCATTAAAAACTAATAAAAAGAGGAAAAGAGATAAAAAAAGAAAAATAAAGGAAAATATGTCTTAACTTTTTAAAAACAGGTACTGTTCCTTACCATTCGATGGTAGGAATGGGAGAACCAAAGAAAGCACAATCTAACATAGCAGGCCTGTCTGAAATGACCTGATAGCGCAAATTTGCTTCAGTAAGTATCCGTGGTGGTTCAGCTAAAAATAGGAAAAAATAAAGAGAGGCATTTAAGACTCAAAACTACAGTCATCCCTAGTAATCTGTTTTTATTTTCTTGCATGGCTTCATGTTAAATCCTGCCATCTTAGTACTGGCTCTATTACAGGTTGGCAGGTCAGCTTGGAAAAGAGCAGAGTTCTATATATGTTCTGTGTTTATTGAGAAATTAGCACAAAGGACATTAAGATGACAAGATATCTTCGTTTCCAACACTTTCACTAAGACTTTCGGGGCTTAGTTATCTTTCCTGAGTTAAATGTTTAATTCTTTCTTTCTAATGAATTTCTAAAGGGTTGTGAACCCTTCTGGGGATTCTGATGAAGTCAATGGACCCCTTCTTAAACACATAAAATATACAGTATTACAAAGGAAACTAATTATATTGAAATTCAATTGTCAAAATTTATATTTAAATAAAACAGTTCATGGACTTCAGGTTAAGAACCCCCATTTTAAAGTATCTCAAATACTGGCAAAAATTCCTGATTTTTGTTTTTGTTTTGAAAAGAGACACACCTTCCTTAGGTAGTTAAAGAAAAAAAAATCTTCTGCTATTATGAGACAATTTCTACAGAAAATAAGTTAAAAAAATTGCTATTTGGGTAATTTGAATATTAGAAATAAGCTAATTGCTTTCCTAGAACATCGGATATTAGAAATAGATGAAATAGAGATCTTATTAAGTACCTATATACACACATTTCTTCCATTGTTATCTTACATTTTACCACAAATAAGAAGTATATATTTTTGAATATATTCATAAATTAAGTAAAGGTCAAGGATATGAGTCCCATTTTACAGATGAAGAACTGGAGTAATAGGATAATTAAAAAATTTGCTAAGCCTAGAGTCAGAATTATAGTAAAATCTAGATTTTAAAATTACTACTCAATCTTATGTTATTTTTCTTTTCCATCGACCAAGGAGTCAACCTATCAATCAACTAATAAGAGGACTTAAAAATACTGTTTTTAAAATGTTGGGTTGACTTGTTCTTATTTTAAAAAATAAGACCAAAGAGATATGAATGAAAGAAACAGCAATTATGAATTAAATAGATAGTTACTCAGGCAGGTAGGTAATACAGAGGGTAGAGTGCTGAGCCTGAAATTAGGAAGAATTGAGTTCAAACCTGGCCTCAGACACAGACATACTCTGTGTTGTATCTTCTGCACTGCCTGGTTTCATCTCCATGAAACAAGATGCTCCTCCCATGATAAAGGTTTCACTTCTAAACTCACTATCATGCTGCTAACTCAAGCCTTGATGGACACAAACTCCCTCAGCCCTGTCCTATTGGCAGATGGAGCACCAAACTCCTTCCAATGCCTTCTTTTAGAGGGGGCAGAAATGAGACTGTCAGCCTGCTCCACTTTACACCTGTTGTTCTGCTTGGTTTCAACTTCACAGAACAAGAAACCCACTGCTGCTACCCCAACTTTACTTTTCTGCCTCCTTTTGTGTGTTATCTGCCTTTTTAGATTGTAAGCTCCTTGAAGGCAGGGGTTGTCTTTCTTTTTGTTAATTGTTTCTCTGCCTTAGCACAATGCCTAGCACATAGTAGGCACTTAATAAATGTTTATTAGATTAGATTGACCCTGGGCAAGTCACTTAACTTCTACCGCAGGTTCCTCAACTGCAAAATGGGGATAATAACAGCACCAAACCGTTCCCCCCCCCTTGAGAATAAAATGGGATAATATTTGTAAAGAGATTATTATTCACCCTACTCATGAACTATGAGGAAACACCTTACCCAAAACGTTCACAAATGCATTTGCCAGCAAGTATCCATACTCATTGGAAGCATTGCATTGATAAACAGCACTGGAGCTTTCTTGAACATCAGAAAAGAGAATAGTATCACCATCTATTTTTCTGCTGGGATCATCAGGAGCCACTGTTTGGGTGTAAAAAAAGAAAATGATTCCGCTTGAACTTAACTGTTTGAAAAAATGAATAAAAAGTTTATGAGAGTGGAAATATGCAGTCATAAAATACAAACACAGAGTTTAGGTAGGTGTTGAAGGAATGAGACTGTGTGAAAAACTCAAGGTTTTGTTTTTGTTTTTTAAATTAAGGAGCTTATTCAGAGTCTGAATCTGATTTTTAGACAGAAAGTATGCCATGCTAAAGGACGGGTTACAACCTGTGGGATGGCCTTGCCCATTCTAACCCTAATGGCTTCTTTTGCACCACCAGGAGAGCTCCTTCCTCCTAAACATGTACATGTCACCAGACTCAAGCACCAGTTTCCTCTGTTTCCCCTCCTCCCCTAAAGTTTCTTAGTGGAAGGGATGCTAGATTTAGAGCCAAAGGACCCAAGTCCAACTCTGATTCTGTTAGTGACAACTTGTGTGACTTTGGACTAGTCATTTTATCCCTGTAGATCTTGGTTTCTGTCTCTGCAAAACGAGGGGGTTGGTTGAGATGACATCTGAGGTCATCTAAACCTATTCTATTGATAGCAAGAAAATATAGCATATAAATTGAAACCAAAGCTAATTCAACAAATACAGAATTACTCTAGCTCTTATCCAAATATGTTTTTAATGAGAATATCTTCATCAACAAAATTGATACATTAGAATGAGAAACATTTTCCTGCTTTAGAAATTTCTATATTCACAACACTCCTACTCCATTGTATATTCTTTGGAGTTTCTGTTATTGTGGCCAAGGGTTAAATTTGGTTAAGTGCTGGAACATTCTAGGCCTGGGCATAGAATTGACTAAGGCTAAGGATATGGGCTTGATAATGCATTCGGTGCTAACTAGAACCTGTACCAGCTATTTTTTTCTTCCTCCTCTCTAACCCTTGATTGGTAAGAGATAGCTCTACATTCTAAAGACTGATGACTTGTTTAGATTGGCCTAGGTACAAGGGGAAAAAAAGGACAATGAGGATGAATTACAGCTAATTCCAAAGGTTGAGAACACCAAGAGCACAAATGAAGAAGTGAACAGACTTATGTAGCTAACTGTGGCCCAGAGGCATAGTTGAGTTAAAAGGGTGAATATTAATTCTCAAATAATAATTATAAACAGTAACTGGGATGAGAGCTCTGGAAGAAATGACTGAGTGACATTTGGGGAGGAGAAAGAGAGGAATGATCCCTTCAAATCCCCGAGGAGTGGGAGAAAAAAGGAAAGTTACTTAATGAAGATAATGTCCTATGCTCAAATGCTAGGTAGAAACTATGTGTCTTGGCCTATATATGTACCCACACTTCTTAGTCAGACATACGTAGCTCAGTAAACTATTTGTAGTAAACTCTGACCTCAGAAAGTCTCTACTGGGGAAGGAAGTGGGTGAGGAACAACTGTGAATAATAAAGAAAGAATAGATAGGAATAAAATGTCTCTTTAAGATGACTGGATTTTCAGAGAAATCTTTTGAATCATAAAAAATGAGGACAAATCTATTCCTACCTATTCCTATTGAAATAGAATGTAACTGAATACACTAAACGATACATGAGAATACATCAGTGTCACCTCAGGCAGTAGACATTACTGTGCTATTGGACAGAATACCCTTTTGATGAGTGCCAAACCTTAGGTCAAATTCTTATACTGTCTTTAAAAATTTCCTCTCAAACATAGAGATGCCTAAATGAATCTCAAAAACGAGTAACCAGTAGCATTTAAATCAATTAGGTTATCCTCAGTTCTCACTGTAAATAGCCTTAGTAAATGCCTAACTATAGTAAATGGCCACTATATTGTGAAAAATCTCAGTTCCACCTCAGGTAGGGCTGCTCTCCAATGATTAAAAAAAAAGATGTTTTACTCCTTCCCTTAAAATCCTTCATTATTTTCTTATCTCTAACACATGGTTCATATTGAGTTTACTATGTAACATGAATCAAAATAAACTAAATGGTAGTCTTTCACTCTTTCTTTGTTTTACCAAGTCCAAAATGTTGTGGTCATATTTATAATATAAAAATCTCTAACGTTTTTAAGACTAGTCTGTGTTATCCTGGAAATTCAATACCAATTATCAATACCCAAGGGCCATTTAAATCCCTACTGAGGGAGTCCCTTTCTGAGCCTCTTTCATATCAGGCAACCTTCCATGGATAATACAAATGTTCTTTAAAAGGGCATTATTCTACAATACACTCACAATCAATAACTAATTTCTGAAATCATATGAAATGTTCCACTTGATATAACAATATGAATGAAATCCTGATGATGGATGAGCTTTAAAATATTTTGAAGTGAACCCTTAGCCCACACCTGCTGTTTGTGAACCTAACATTTTAAATCAGGCCTGAGCCATAAGTTATGCCTTTAAAAAGCAAATGCACAGGCACAGAAATATAGACACACACTCACATATAAAATATTTTCATAGATTTCTCAACAAGTTATAGGTTATTATCAACTGCAGAAATGAACATAAATGAGAGAGAACAATAAATGACCAAGGAACAGATTTGTCATATCTTTTGTAAGCAATCAATGCAAACCCAGAAACATTTTCAAGGGTCCTGTACATCTTCACCTATGGTCTACACACCTTTTTCGTTACCTTTCAGAAAATCACAGAATCTCAAAGTCGCAAGAGACATTAGAAGCCATCTAATCTAACAGATGCCTGAACAGGAGTGTCTTCTCTGATAACTCTTGTAAGTGGTTAAGAAGCCTGTACCTGAAGAGCTCTAGAGAAGGAATTTAATACATCCTGGGGCAGTCCATTCCATTTTTGGTTAGCCCCAATTGTTAGGAAGCATTTTTTGGTCATATAGGGCAGATCTCTATCTGTCTTGTTTCAGCTTCAATGCACTGTTCATAATTCTGCCCTCTGAGGCAAAGAAGACTAAGTTTTCCATATGACATTCCTTAAGATACTTGACATTATTTACTCTTCCCTCCACAAGTATCCATGTTAAATATCCCTAGCTCCATCAATTAATCCTCAAACGGAAGATTCTCTAGGCTCTTCATGACCCTGAATTAACTTTTCTAAACATATTATATAATGTCAATATCCCATATAGGCACAATATGGTACAGTAGAAAGAATGTTGACTTTGGAATCTGAGGACACAGATTTGAATTCTATTTCTGACACTTAGTTCGTGGCACCTGCTTGATTTTGGACAAATCAGTTCACCTTGCAGGGCCTCAGTTTTTTCATCTGTAAAATGAAGATATGAATTAGATGACCTCTAAGGTAACCTCTACTCAATGTGTGCTGGTAAATGTTTAACAACCAGCTCTCTGGGAGGGAGAAAGGTGCACATGACGCACATGACAAGTTTAACCTGCAATATTTACTTTTCCCCATCACTTTCTTAAGTCTAGACAATCAATAAAACAACAAATCAAGCCCTGGTTTGTAGCGTTAGCTGATATCTGGGTGTAAAAGCTCACATACCCCCGCCTCTACCTCTAAATCTTATCTTTCCTAAAATGTGATGCTCAAAACTCAAAACTACAGGCATTGTATGAATGGGGGGTGTTATTATCCTCCTCACTTCTCTTAATATATATATGTTATCATGTCTATAAAGAGCCATGGAAGATTTTTGAGCCACTAATGGTTATTGGTGACACATATGGTTAGACCTATCCACTCATATGATTATTTTGGCAATTGTGTAAGGGATGGATGGGAAAGAGAAGGTAATGGAATCAGGAAGGCCAGTTAGAAAGCTTTTGTAACAGGCCATGTAAGAGGTGATGATGGTCTGAAGTAGGATGGTGATCATATGAATGGAGGAGACGGATTGACAATTAATAAGATGTGGCAACTAATTAGAAACGGCAGGTTAACAAGAAGGAAGATTCCGAGATGATCATGAGGTTTGAGTCTATGTATCTGGATGTATGGTGGTAGCACCAACAGAATAGGAAAGTTGGGAAGAATAAACAGCTTTAGGGGGAAGATGCTGAGTTTAATTTTAGATGTGTTGAGTTTGAGGCGTTGGTGGTACAGCTGTCCAGGAGGCGGTTGGAGATATGAGAATGGACTTTAGGGAAAATATTAGGACTGGTTTTAAAGATAAGGAAGTTGTTTGCAGAAAGGTGCTAAACATATGGGAACAGATGGATCCAGAGTCATGGGAATTAAGGAAGCTGATGCCAATTCTGAGAGACCCAAGATACCATATAGGTCATCAGTATGAATGGGAAGTCACTAAGGGAGAGAAAGAAGACAGAGCTTTGGAAGATGCCCAGACTTTGGGGTAGTAGAGCATAACAAACAAGTAAAGGTGGCTGAGGAGGTAAAATCAGATAGGTAGGAGGGGAACCAGAGACACAAATTTCAATTCCATTTAATAAACCTTTATCAAGATCTTAAAGTGTGCAAGATATTGTGTGAGGCCCTGGGGAGACAAAGCCAAGAAGAACAACAAAAATACCTATCCTCAAGAAGTTTATATTTTCTTGGAAAACACTAAGAGAATACAGAAGACAAGAGAGGAGAGAGCGACCAGGTGGAGGGACGATCCAGAGCAATAACTGCTACAGAAATATCCAGGAAGATGAAGACTGAGAAAAGGCGACTGACAATCTTTGAGAGAACAATTACAACTGAGTGACGGGGTTAGAATCTAGATTGCAAAGGATGAAGGGCAAATTGGAGGTGAAGAAGAAAAGGCAGGGAGTATAAACTATTCTTTCTAGGAGTTTAGTGGTGAAAAAGAGTAGAAATATAAGATAATAGTTTGGAAGAATGACAGAGTTAAGGGGGTGGTGTTAAGGGCAGAGGAGACCCAAGCATGGTTACATGATTTCTTCTCCCTTGTTCTGAAGTTGAAGCATAGAAAACAAATGGTGGGGGTAACCCACATTTGAGGCTTGAACAGTAGGCTAATGGTGCAAAGTATTCAACAGTAGATAGCACTGGGTAAAAGAAGACCAGAATGAAGGTGATGGACT